TTTTCTTTTCTTTTTTTTTCCTTCGCGTACTTACTTACTCACCACTCTCGTCTCTTCTATTCTACGTCTGTCCTGTTCTGTGTTGCTCAATTTAGTTCTGCTCTCTCTCTTATTCTGTTTCAGTATTCTCTATTCATGTGAATCCTGCTCAGTGCTTCGCTGCGTTATCCCATGTGTTTCTTTCGACCTAACCTCCTCGCTTTTTGTTGTTAAAACAACTGAACATACACTTCTTTTACATTCATCCCCATCTGCCCCGTTAAACACCACTGATATCTCCCATTTATACCTGGTTCCTATGATCATCTGTTCTCTGGTTGGTCTTTTCCGGCTCAGTGGGTGTTTCCGGTCTTTGGTTCTTTAACGATGGAGGAAGACCGCGCATAAGGCGGAAAAAGCCTTCCGGCTACTCTAACGCGCAGACGACCTCTCGTGGTAATCCTCCACACGCTTGTTATCGTTTTGATTATTCCAGTGATTGTTGTTGTTGTTGTTGTGATGCGGCTTCTTCTTGTTGTTCCACCACGAGGCAGGGTTGAAGCCCGAACTTGAATCGATTTCTCGGCGGGCCTTCAGTTCATGTAGTTTGTGGTGACGAATTCCTGGAAAATATGTTGTTTTGTTTGATCCGAACATGGCATACAACTCCATCTCTCTCATCAAGAGGCGGCCGCACTCCTCCTCGACTTCCTGGCCGTCCTTGGCGATCAGCACGGAGAGATTCTCGTTGAGCGAGTTCTTCAAGTATCCAATGCGAGAAAAGGGCACGGCAACTTTGGTAAGCCATTTGAGACGGAAAGGTGGAGAGGTCTGCCAGTGAATGTTCTTCATCCAGGATGCTTTGCTGATGTCGGCCGAAGGTAGACTGGTCATCAATGCCTGAAGGTATGTGTTAGGCGCGGATCCAAGATGAATTAAGGCGACCCGTAACTTACAACGCCCTGGAAAGCCTTGCTCTTGTTCACAGAGAAGAAAAAGATGACGTTTCTGCATGTTTCGAAGGCCTTGGTGAACTTTTCTTCGTTGGACGTTTGGGTGACCCAAATCCCCTATTAAAATGTGTAAACCACGGAAACACTACACATCACAAGATCCGGGAGAGATGGGGTGTTTGACTTACGTCCTCCATGGCCTTTTCCAAGTTCTCGTTGTTGAAGGACTTGAGTACGAAGAATCGAGTGTCTGCAGTAGGAAATGTTAGACCTTTCACCGGGAATATGATAACGACACAATAGTGGAACAGATGACGCCCGTCAGATCATGAGGCACGGAGATATCGCCATTGATCAACGGAGTTGAGTGCCTTTCCGGAGGTGTGTGAATCCCTGAGACCGAGTCTTTTGGTGCTTGAATGGGTGAGAGAACGACCGCAAGGAAAACTGACCGCCCTTTTCGCCCGTATTGAAGTGCTCAACATGCTCCAACTCCCTAGATCGCCGGGGTGACTGGGCTCGGGGAGCCTTTTCTCCACGGTGATCGTCAAAGAATCCTTTATCATCACCACGATAACTCCGGTTGTCATATTTATGGACAGAGCGTCCATCGTACTTGTTGAAATCGGAACGATCGCGGGACCGAGGCCGAGGAGAAAACCGAGAGGGCTGATAATCGCGGTCACGAGAGGAGGGACGGCTTAGGCAGTGGTCACGACGAGGTGACGGAGCGCGGTAACGACGGGGAGACCATGATGGAGCACGTTTGGTAGGATATTCGGGTCGGCCACGTTCCCGATGACGGTCGTTGTACTCGTTGTCGATCTCCATCGGCCGGAATCCATTCTCGTCGGGCCGGCCACGTTCCCGATGACGGTCGTTGTACTCGTTGTCGATCTCCATCGGCCAGAATCCATTCTCGTCGGGCCGAAGCTTCTTCTCCGGAGGATGATCGGCCTTTTCCACGGACTTCTCGCGTTCCCTTTTGGGCACTGCGGCCTTGGGAGCTTCGGTTAGTTTGTTAGTGGTTGCCGGGGCAGTCTCGACTAGCGGTGTTGCGACGAGGCCAAAGTCCAATCCCTCTTCCTCCAGCAACTTGCGCCGCTCGGCCTCTAGCCTGGCATTTTGAGCAGCATGCTCGGCTTCAATTCGTTCTTTCTCTGCGGCCAGAGCTTTCAGCTTACGATACCGTTCGAGCTTCTTGGTACGTGTTTCCACGTTGTGGTAATCAGTATGAGCCAGCCATTCCCGTAGGTCCGGGTTGAGCTCCAGGGCTCGCTCGAGCGCCTTTTCAGGAGTCAAGGAGGTAGCGGTAGGCTCAACCCTGGCTTGAACACTTTGGATTTCGGGCCTGCTATTTGTACGTATAGCCTTCTCGGTGCCCGTTTGGGGCTTACCGGGGCCTTTTTGAGACACATGTTTCTTGTTAGGGATCAAACCAGCTCCTGATCGCGGGGTCCTTTCAGTTCCCTGGGAGACTTGGTGCTTCGGTCGTTCTGGGCGTCTTTCGTGCGCCTCTGCCTTGACTGGCTCTTCCGCACCGCTCTCAATCTCATCCTCCTCGACTGGAGTAAAGGGTGCTGTGATGGCAGCCTTTGCGAGTCCAGGAGGAGGCAGGGAGAATTGGTTCGAGGCCGGTGGAGGAGTAGCCTGATTTGGTGGCGCCTCAACAGAGCCTTTGTTTTGCTGTTTGATAGAGGGAACTGATGTAGAAACAATTCCTGGCATGGGATCGGCATGATCGGAAAAGGAGCGGATCAAAGCGGCGATGTCATTTTCATCGGCTGAGATGGATGTCTCGGTAGGAAGCTGAGGAACAGTATGAGGGACAAAGTCAGGTTTGGGTTGCTGGGGCTTTGGTGTTGGGGCGACCGTGGGGGTTAAGGGTCTGTTGGCAGGTGCAAGGTCGCTGATGGCCGGCGAAGGACGAGTAGAGCGGTCCTTTTGCATAGATTGAAGCCGTTGCTTGAGCTCGCGTGTTTTGGCGTCGAGAGCCAGCTTGTTCATGTTGGGTAGAACGGGACTTGACATGATGACGAGCGGTGGGCCAATGGCACTGGCGACGCGTTAGTAAATCGTCGAGGTAGGAATGCTGGCTATTTGCTGATTGATATGGCTGTCTTGGGCAAAGGCGAGCAAGCAAACAACTCTTTTGGGTATGAAGGCGGGCTTTTGTTGACGACCCGGGTTAGCCGGTGAGATTCGATGCGAAGGTTGCCTGACTTGTTGCTCGCAAATGTTGTCCAAGGTTGAAATGAACGCTGTTCAATATTTCGGTTGTTGTTGTTGATATTTCTTGCTGTCGATGGAAACACTTGTGTCCAACACCGGCCGAGGACGAGCAGAATAAACGTACTAGCTCTCGGGTTCGATGGCGAGGGATAGAAAAAGTCTGACCAGATGAGTGCTGCCTAATGTGCTGGGAGCAATGATAGAAGGAAGCACACACTGGCGACTCGACTGGTCCTCCCCGATTGTTGAATTTGTTGTGAAAATGATCAACTTTGGAAGTTGAACTTTTGATGCTTGGAATGGAGCATTGCACTAACACTGGGGCCATGCCCCACCCCCGCTATTTGTGTCTGTCGCTCGAGTCCTTATCGCACCTTATCGGACAGTGCTGTGCTAGTACTGTTATGGTAGGCGCTAGCTGTCCCCGTCGGTTTCTTTCAACTGTCATCACTGCAAATCACCAACAACAAATTTCCAACTTTGACTTCACGCCCTCAGGTCATCAACATCCATCCAATCTCGCGATCCCATCCGCCTTGCTGAGGGCCAGACCCTTCCGCCTCAGCCCATCATATTTACCTCAACCCTCAAACGCATGTCATTCTTTTACTTTGTTTTTCTCTCTCCATTGATTCCTTAAAACTTGGTTGTCGCCTTCGCTTTTTCTATACCTTTCAACCCTCTCGATTTCCAAGAGATGGGAGTTTCCAGCCCTCAGTGTAAAAATGCACGGCCAAAGACACGCCTTTCCAACAGATTGACTGACCGGCTCATCCTTATGTCGTTGGACGCCTCCTATCCCGAAATCTACAGGAACAGAACCAACGGCGAGAGAGCTGGGACTGTCCATCACTTTTATACTTCTGGGGTGGACATCATATAACATGACATCTTAGGCATATGATATGGTACATACCTATGTTCGCTAACCAGCCGTGATGCGCATAGTTGTTGGCATTATGATCCCCCAACCCAACGGTCTTCCCGCCGCATAATGGACAAACATCTGAGGCTCTCTGTCTCGGAAACACATGTCTCGGCCACACACACAGGGCGAGAAAGACATTTATGCGATTCAGGCTATCGCAAGCGCGCCCATGTCCAACATCCCGTCATGAAGTTCTTGTCAATCAGTCTTTGACCCGGAGCAGGTTTGCCAGGACACCACCTCATATCTGCCCCTTTACAAGTGCCCGTGTTGAGAATGTCGCTCAAGTGAAAGTGACATTCATGCAAAGATTCCATCAAGAGGGGCCCGCCACTACCATGCCCCATCTATCGAAGATTCCCAACTCTAGACTTCAAGGGCATATCCTGGCCTGGCCCCTCCTGGCCTGGCCCCTTCCACCACCTTTCGACTTCTTGGCGTTCCTCTTCTTCACAGGTGAGAAAAGAACGACAGAAGCTCTGTCGTCATCTCTGGATGGTGCCACAGTTCGGTTCAACCTGCCGCGACTCCGACAAACCTGGCATATCGAAGCCTTTTGACTGGCTCAGCTGGAGACGAGATCGCGAGTACACGCGTACATCCATCGTCCACTCTCGCCTGGAACGCCCAGTCTCTAAGGGGCCAAGGGGGGCCCATGGGCTCGGTAACATGGCCGCTGGCGGGCGCTACCAAGCGTTGGCTCGACGTTGGAACGTTGGGAGGCTCAAGATGCCCCTGCAGGACTCCATGCGAACCCCTTCGCCTACCCTTGTTAACACCCATTCAAACCACCCCCTGGTCTGCCCCTGAGTCTCCACACAGACCGAACCCGCTTCACTAACAAATCCTTGAACTCAACCCCTTCGTCAGCCCGAATGTGTTTCATGCCTGTGATGGTGAGGAGTGCTTCACGAATACAGCGCTTGACTTTGTGGGTTAGCTTTGATAGCTTGCCATGTCGAAACTTGGGGATCGAAGCTCGATCCCACGGGCAGTTCTCGGGCATTGCGGCGCCACAGCAAGTTCCATCTTCACTTTGGACGAATCACTTTTCTCGACAATAACGCTGCGTGTTCGTCCCATCATGGCCCTCGTATCGCTCATCTTGTTTGGGGAGCCGCAATGATCCCTTCACTGCTACGCAGTTGATGCTCCTGGAGCTGTATCCGAGGTTGGAGATCCGCCAGCATATCACATTGCCTTCCACCACCGTCGATCTGTTTTGTTTCCCTATCCATGGCCACTCTACCCGCGGGGGTACCTACCCGCTTACATGGTCACCTTGGAATCAACTTTGGGAATTTGGTCCGTTATCAGACCCCGCCTTATTCAGGCCATCTCATTTCGCTGAAACGACATGTTCGTTGACCGATGCTTTGACGGCTGACATGGGCATGCATACCCATCCATCACGGACGATATGCCAAATGGATTTGGCCGCATACCGCACGATGCTTCGACTAGGTAGGTGGGCTTGTCGTGGGCATCAAGGAGCAGGGGGTAAGGCTTCGATTCTGGAAGACTACGAACAAGTCGAGGATATAAGGACATGGTCGTCGCCATGTTGCTCTGTTCTGGAAAATCACCAGCTTCAACTTGAGCATTCGGCATCTACCCACCTTCTTTTTTACTTCTACCTTCTTTACAACAGCTTCAGTGAAGCCTACCATTCTTTACATCACTATCTTTGACATCACATCACTCATTTTTGCCCGCTAGTCGGTCCTACTCACGAAAACAACAACAACAATAACGCCAATAACTTACTACCATATCAACCAAGATGCCTTCCTTCACTTCCAAGTCTCTTCTTACCGTCCTCGCCGGTGCGGCCTCCGTCGCGGCCCACGGTCACGTTAGCAACGTTGTCATCAACGGCGACTCTTACCAGGGTTATGATATCAACAGCTTCCCTTACATGGCCAGCCCCCCTATTGTCGTTGGCTGGACCGCCAGCAACACCGACAACGGCTTCGTTGCTCCTGATGCTTTCTCCTCGGCCGATATCATCTGCCACCGCAACTCCGCCAACGCCAAGGGCCATGCCGTCGTCAAGGCCGGTGACAAGATCTCCATCCAGTGGGATACCTGGCCCGAGTCTCACCACGGTCCCGTGATCGACTACCTCGCCAACTGCGGCACCGCCGGCTGCGAGACCGTCGACAAGACCGCTCTCGAGTTCTTCAAGATCGACGAGGTCGGCCTCATTGACGGCTCCGCCGCCCCCGGCAAGTGGGGTTCCGACCAGCTCATCGAGAACGGCAACAGCTGGCTCGTCCAGATCCCCTCCAACATCGCCCCCGGTTTCTACGTTCTCCGTCACGAGATCATCGCCCTCCATTCCGCCAACGAGGCCAACGGCGCCCAGAACTACCCCCAGTGCTTCAACATCCAGGTCACCGGTACCGGTACCGACAAGCCCGCCGGTGTCAAGGGTACCGCCCTTTACACCCCCAACGACGCCGGTATCCTCTTCAACATCTACCAGTCCATGACCAGCTACCCCGTTCCGGGCCCCGCCCTGATCAAGGGTGCCGTCAACGTCGCTCAGGCCCGCTCCGCCGTTGCTCGCACCGCTACTGCCATCACTGGTCTCGCCGGCGCTCCTGCTGCCACTGCTGCTCCTGCCACTACCACCGCGGCCGCTGCTCCTGCTGTTACTACTACCTCCGCTGTCGTTGCCGTGCCTACTACCACTCTCGTCGCCTCCACCACCAAGGCTGTCACCGTCGCTCCTACCACCACCACTGCTGCTCCCGCCGCTACCAAGCCTGCTAAGGGTGGATGCCGCGGTAAGAGCCAGAAGCGTCGTGCTGCTCGTCGCGCTGCTGCTGCTGCTGCTGCCCGCGAGGCTGCCCTCGCTCGTCGTCACGCTCGCGATGTTGCTTTCCTCGACTAAGCGGTTAACTGTGTTGAGAAACGGGTCTAGGAAGATGGTTATTATGACTATGAAGGAAGATATGACCGGCGCTTATAAGCTTCGGCGATGTTGTACGAAAGAAGAAGAGATTTGGAGAGACCTATTCGATTCTACTGTATTACCTGATTAGATAAAACTTGAACTTGCTCCACCGCTTGGTAGAGGAGAAAGATGATTGCTCTGTTGAGGACAAACTCGGTGTTTTGTTTTGCAAGTGATTCTCTTGATGTTTTTGGGCGGTTCTATTCCTTTTATCGCCATTTGATCGTGGGCATATCTTACCCCGTCTCGGAACATGTTCGAAATCCGGTATATTTTTCGGGTGCAAGAGGATGAAGAAGAAGAAGAAGATTTAGAAGGTGCGCCTGGCAAGGGTGGCGGGTGAGCTTACACGACGCGCCAAACAAAGCCCAAAGATGGGTCGGTGCTTTTTGCGGAAGATAAAACGGAAAGACGCAGATACTATGTACAATCTAACCCTGGTTTGTTTGTTAGTCTGGTACAAAAACGCCCATTTCTATCCTCGAGCCACTGGGAGAGGACGGACAGGTACTGGAAGGACCGCCTTCTTATATCTTTCAGCCTTTCGGAAAGAAGCATCAAGAGGCTTTTGTAGCGTTTCTACCCTGGTCGCATTGTCAGTTGCTTCAAACGAAAACCTGAAGAAGGCTAATAAGGGCTTTAAATCTCTTTTGTTTAACCCCGGTCCGAAGTTCCAAGCTAACAAACAAACCAGTCTTATATTGTATGGTATACGTGCAAGTTTTCCGCCGCCACCCAGCAAGAAGAGAAGTGAAAAAAAGTAAAAAGTGTCAAAAAAAATTGCCGAAACAGCGCGAAACATGATTCGAACGAGCCGCTTCTCTGAGAGAGGAGGTGGTATGTCCAACAGAAAGCAAACAGTCAGTGGCGCGCTTTCTAATGACTACCCGCTACATCTAGCGACTGCATCACCCAACCCCAGGAGCAGAGCACGGTGGTTGGGTGATTGTACTGTTGAAGGTATGAGCTTAAGTAGGTAGGTAGGTAGATACCGTTTTGTTCCCGTCAATTACTCAATTTGAACCCAACTTGAACTTAACTAGGTCCTGATATTGATTGATCCCATGGTTACTTGTACATATGTATGGTATGTATGAGACAAGACAGGAATTCCACTTGTGAAGGAATTAGATTGATTGATTGTCATCGTCCTATGTAATCCTAGTCCTACAAATCCTCGTCGTCATCTTTATCTTCATCTTCATCGTGTCACAACATCCCATGAAGTTTTCTACTACCCACTCCCGCGCGCCCGATGCCCGACGTGACATATGTATGTTTGTAGCTTACCAACGTCACCAGCCATCCGGGCAAGTAGTGTTCGAATCAACTGGCGAACTCGCGAATTTGACTCGGATATTGGATATCGAGAAGGCGTCAAGTCAAGTCAATGAAAAGTACTTACTGCTTAGTATAAACACCTTCAATTCATACTGCAATCACAATCACGATCACGGGTGGGGGGGGAAGGGGGGAAAGCTTCCTTCGAATCCTTGGTCCATGTTCATGTTCCATGTTCGTTGTTTGTTCGAGTTGCTAAGGTGCTCTTCGCAGTTACATCCAATCCAGTACATCCAGTCAGTCCAATCAGCGCGAAGAGGAAGTATAGACCAGAGCTAACTCAGCTGCGATACCTAGATACCTATATAAAAGATTCTTGATGATTTACTCAGTAAATCACCAAAATTCTCCCTCATCACTCTTTATTCGTACTCAACTACCAAAACCACCCCATTTCATCGCCTTCCATTCTTACTTTCTCCCAATCAGGGCCGGCCCTCACCTCATCCAGTCACTACCCTTCCTCTCTTTACATATAACTACCATCATAGTACCCCTGACCAGCATACCCGCTCCCCAAAACACTCTCAATCTTGACCGCAGCACCCAACTTACTACTAAACCCCGCTCTCGTCCCACTGGCTCCGGCACCGGTATTAGCATACTCGGTAAACGCAACATTGCTGGTCCTCTCGTCGCCCGTATTCCAGATCTTCCACCCGGCAGCGTTGATGACGTTGGTCATGCTGGTCTTTTGGAACGTCACGCGGGCGTATTCGCGCCAGGGACGACCGAGGTAGTAGGCGCCCGAGGAGATCGAGTGGCCGTCGGCGGCGGCGATGGTGCAGGCGTTGAACACGTAGTTGTTTGGGTTGGTGGAGGAGTCGCGGCCGGAGGCTATGGGTTGGTGGGTGGGTGTTAAGTTAGCTTGGCTCAGATGTGGGAGACAAGAAGGAAAGAAATGATTAGAAAAGAAGACGAAAAGAAAAAGGTGTACAAACCAGTGATGTATCCAATGCTGGCGGCAACAACTCTGATGTCGCATTTTTCGAACCAGGCTGGTGCTCGTTGGCCGAAGATGAAGTCCGTGGCTCCTTGGATCAGGGACCTGTGTTTGAAATCCTGTGTTAGTCACTCGCTTTTTTTTTTTTTTTCGCCCATCGTCACCATCGCCCTTATCCTCAACTGCATCTCACCCTCCCATAACCACCCATCCCGTCGCACTCAATACTCAAACCCAGCAGTCCACCTCCACGGCCCTTTCCACCCCTCACCTACCCCCTCCCCAATCTTACCCACAGCCACCTGCCTCTTCCAAGCAACAACACTTCAAACATGTTAACAGACCATAAAAAGACCAAAAAACTCACCTAGCATAAACCTGCGCCCCCTCCTGCGCCAAAACCGTATCCTGAAACCCCTTCAACTGACAGCCATAAACCCCCACGCCCTCCGCATAGACACTCAACGCTACCGCCTGACTTCCTTTTCCATACCCATTCTCCACATTCAAATTATACAATCGCGCATTCTTGCTCTTCACCCTCAGTGTGGCCGTCTCATCATTCGTTAACCCGTCCGCCTGCGATTTCGACGACAAAATAGTGACGGCGTTGGAAGCGTAGCTAAGCGTGGAGGTGGTTGATCCGTAAATGGATAGTTGCGCGGCGCGAGAGGGGATGAGGACTTGTTCACGGTAAGTGCCGGGGTAGATGAAGATGCATTGGGGGCTGGAAGAGGTGGTGGAGAGGGCGTTGATGGCGGATTGGATTGTGGAGAATTTTTGGGATGAGGAGGGGCCGACGGTGAGGCACGTGGTGGATGGGGGGGAGGTGCGGGTGGCGGCGAGGGCGGCGGGGGGGAAGAGGGAGAGAATAAGAGGGAGAAAGGAGAGGAGGGATTTCATGGTGACTTGACCACAAGGAAGCTAAGGTAGCTAGCTAGCTGGTGGGAGCTAGGAGGAGCTTGAGGTGTAGGAGTTAGGAGAATGTCGGAGGAAGGTGAGAAGAAGGAGTTACTGGTGATGGTGTAGGAGAGGGTGATATACTTGCAGTTTAAGGGATTCAATGGGAAAGTGACTTTGAACACTCGGAGGGCTTGTTCCTCGTCGTCGTTCTAGGGCATCACGGAACTTTCCACCTGCAGTTTCTCTCCAGACCGCACCACGATCCGAAAGGAGAAAAATTTGAAGCTTTCACCCACCCCCCCTTACCAGCAGCATACGTACACAGTTCCGGATTGGTGGACCTGTCTGTATACCTTCTCGATATCTGCTTGGTGCGCATAGCTCCAATCGAGGTACATACGCAAGCCATAGCTCGTGATGTGAGTGAGTACAGTGACATCGTCAGCTCCAAGTCTTCAAGACCCGGGGCCGGGGCCGGGGTGCATAAACCTCCGCCCAACGATCTCTTGCTTTCTCCATCAACCGGGAATTCATCCATCTTGGGTGGTTTTGCGGAAGGTGACTCGAAGAAGATGTCAACCCCGTCTCTCTTCTACCCGATGTGTGTCTAGAAGCGGGGATAGGGGAACGGGCCAAGCTCAACCCACGAAACACGCGCGAATCGTGGAATCGATCCCATTTGCGGATAAATAACAATGCTTTGGTGCCGAACGGGGGTTGTAGCCTTCTCCAATTGTCCGGATACTAGTTCTAGTAGAGAAACGGGACTGTTTGGATGTAACTGCGGGGAGCCGCAACAGGGAACGACAAACGTGGAAAGAAGCTCGTGACGTTTGAAACTTCTTGGCATCGATTAAATCCATTGGCCTGATCCCTTGAGTATGAAGGATGTGTTTGAGGCCCTGGTTGGTGTGCTGAGTTGGAATAAGAATGGAGCTGGACACGATGTCAATGCCGTGCGATCATCTGTAATCCTAGTTGAGTAGTCAAAAGGTGGGATATTCCCGTCCGAAATGTGCTTGAAATAGCTTCAATCTGAATGCCAGAAGTCCAAAATAAATGAGACTACTGTGCAGCCTCAGCCAACAAGGTGCTTTCTTTGGCGACTATTAGCACTCACTCACATTAGTCCCACTTGGGACTCACAACTAGACCACTGTCCCTACCCAGCTCTACCTCTTCACCTCCATACCAAGATTGCTGCATTGGAACATGGTTCGCCTGGGCCATAGTAAGCAGGAGTATCAGGAAAGTACGACTGGGTTGGAGTGAGCTGGTCATTTTTCCATAACAAAAATCACGTACGAAAATCCAGAGCATTACGTCGGAGTGGTATAACGATTGTGCTGGTGATGTGTATGAGCAATCCTAAAAGGAGAGGAGATTAAAACAAAGTGAATGACCTAAGCAAACCCAAACGACCCAACCCATAAATACCGTATTCAACGCCGGTTCGGAACAGAGGCCCCTAGAATACCTCGTAAAAAGAAAACAACTCCTGCTGCTGATGAATGCGAAGTGACAAACTGGGGGCGTCAAAAGTCCTCAGGATTGGAGGAGCCCCCAGAGATTCGAAGGGCCCTTGGGATTGCAAGAGCCCTCGAGACTGGGAGAGACTTCGAGGCTCGTTGGAGGACTACCAACCTAGACGTCGTCCATCTTACCGGCGGCCTCTTCGTCGTCGTCCTCATCGAAACTCGCCACGGATGACAGTTCGCCGTCGTCTTCACTTTCCGCATCCGCCTCGTCTGCTGCGTCCTTGCTCGCGTACTTCTGGACGTATTCTGTACGGGTATGTCAGCTTCCTCCTCGTTGGATCCAACGCATCCCTTGGGTAAACATACCCTTCACCTTGTTCTCGTACGTCTTGGGCTCTCTGAGAAGCATCGCAGCGGCCTCTCCGTTGAGAGGATCGGTGGGGTTCGGGTAACGTAGTAGCTGAGGCAGGAACACTTCGAAAATGTTGATCATGTCGAACATTGGCGACCATGTTTGGTTAATGACGTCCAGGCAAACCGATCCGGATCTGGTACGCATCGTATTTGGTTAGCCCAAATTTCCCAAGACCATGAGCTCACACCACTCTGTTGCATGTCCCATTCCCGCGAACCAGAACCCGCCAACGGACTGCGTGATTATTTCCTCGGATGGTGTGATCAGTATGGTATCGGTCCCCACTTACAGCTCATCGATGTTGGGATGGAAGATTCGGTTCACGAAACCAATGCTAGGGGACTTGTACGGATACTGATCGGGTAGCTCGACGCGGACTTTCCAGATGCCGCCTTCGAAGGGTGCTGTTGGGAGAGCTTTGTGTTAGTGACCGTAGTTTCCTCGAGGCACATCTGCGACTTGAACACATTCGAGGGGGGATGGAAAAGATTGGGGAGACAAACTTTCCGCTGGCCCTTTGAACTTGACGTAGAACTCCTGCCTATTACGGTGTTAGGTATGCCCTTCATCCCAGCTCGCATCATTCGGCTATCGCTTCTTACACTGCAAACAAACGTTAGCGCCCCGAAACCAAGTGTACCATGCTGCCTAAAGGAAGTTGGGCAAAGGCTTTTCCATACTATTGTCGTTCACGAGAGTGACCTCATAGTCGCTCATGAGCCTGTCATATCGATCGGGTTAACAGTAGGCTCGTGGGAAAGGGTTGCGGGAGTTTGTAGAGGCGGGAAGCGTACATTTTCATGACCTGGTAACCATGTACATGTTAGCACGCATCCCTCTAATCCGAAAGTGAACGTAGATGCAATCGCAACTCACATCTGTCTCGATGCGGCGGCGTGGGGAACTCATGTTGCCTGTCTGGAACTTGTGGTCGGTCTGTCCTGCTGATAAGAATGAGGTTGTTTATAGATCGAAATGTCGCAGGTTTTCCGGAGCGGAATCGCAACCCGACGCTTCTGTAAGATTGGATGGTGTAAGGTGATGCCAACTGTGTAGGACTGCTGAATTTGAGAGCATACAGTGGAATGCGGTGTCGTCGGGGTGGTGGCGAGATGCAATGCTGGCTCGTCTGGTCTGGTGCGGCCGATATTGGCTGGATGCTTGAGCGGGGCCGATAACAGTGCTGATGATGTCAACGGAGGGTGACGGAGAGGCGCGCGATGGACTCGAATGGGAACTAAAGTTGGTATTTCGCGGTTTCAAGCGGTCGGGTAGGAGGTGTTTGAGATGGTTGGATCCAGTAGGAAAGTAGTCGGGAGAGAATGCAAGATCAAGTGGGATGAATGATGGATGGAAAGAAGCTGCCAGTTTAGATAAGTCACACTCACGCTCCCGTCCGCAGTTAGCGACGATCGTCCACGACGTCAGGCTTACCGTACAGCACTGATCTCCAGGTGGTAGCGGCCAGGGGTGCATTTGCCGGCCGGCAGCGAATGATAAGCGGCTGGAGGTGGGGAAAGTCATGCGCTGAAGCCAGCGATAAGGATTCATTGGCGGTCACTTTGTCCCTGTGCTTCAGAAGTTCCGGGCCATGAGGAAGAGTCAACTCCAGTCAACCTCATCCAGATTCCAGGCAACCCCAACCGACCAACCGCAACTTGTCTTCCATGCGTAACGAGAGCCTTTCGGAGATGAAATAGTGATCATGAGCTGCACATACTCACTTTTGGATATTCCAGGGTACACAGGCATGGAATGAGTTTTGGACAGTTGTACCTGGTTTCCATTATCTAGCCCAGATCTGCCTCAGCTCCAGAACTCGCTCTCGCCCTTACTACGATCATCAGCAAGTCCTCATTCACAAGCACAACAAGGCCGTCAAGAGGCTGAACGAAAGGTAGACCAACAGATACCATGAACAATGTTTGCTTTGTCCAAAAGCCAAATCCGGCCACCAACAACCGGCACAACAACCAACGACAAATAAGCGAATAAAGAGCGATGCGTCAACGGCATGATACTGTGACACCCAGAGACACAAAAGTTGACTCAGATCCAATCTGGATAATCCCCTGATCTTATTATATAGTGTCTGTCGATCAACTCCGTAGCTTGTCGGATACCGTCACCCACCATCGGCCTCGCGGCCATGAGGGTGGCCGGCGATCCGGCGTTTAGTTTAACGTGTATGGCGGGGAAGTCTGGGGAAAAGGAAGCACTAGTGACGGCGGCGGTTGACCGGCGACCAGGTACATGGGTCACGCGCTCCCTTTGAACGGTGCCATATCTGGACCGGAACTACGCCATGGCTGGTTTGTAGAAATGAATCAAACCATACCTGACAACATCATCCAGCAGCTTTGATGTTGAGGATAGAAATCTATCTTCAAGCACACGTCTTAAGGCAATCAAAGAACTAAGACTTCGGCTCCGGACCACGGTATCGGAACGCCATGTGCTAAGGCTGACAATTGACAGCTGGGCGACGTCCCCCGCAGTTCACGATGTCGTCTGAAGCCACTCACGAAAAGTCGGCGGGTTTAAGTGGTTGCATACATACAGCACCCCATCCCATCACTAACACGGCGCCAAAAAAAGGAAAATGTTGGTTCGATTACTGAACAAGATAAATATAGATTACATAAAGCCTCAACATGTCCATAGTGGTAATGCCGAGAGTGTCAATATCTCACCAGCTCGGTGGTCCGTCGGCGCACCGCTTTCATGAAGAGGGATCAATCAATCATCAAGGTTCTTACGATTGTCACTTTGCCCAACTCCTCCCAAGCCCCAAAATTGTTAGTGCAATGCCAATGCCAGACGGGAGTGCCAGTGCCAGCAGCTCTACCAGTGAGTGTCAGTCCACAGTCGCCGATGCCTCGGCTCCAGGCACACGACCATATATCACCAATCAGAGTCTCCCAGCGGGACCGATAAAGTGGGCAGTGTGGATAAAACAGCCCGAACAAGCCGGCGGGTCTGGTTCGGTCGGTCCCCTGACACTGTTGTTGCTTGGCGGGACGGCAACCCAGTCCCCAGCAGAGAAACCAACACCAAGAAATTTGTGAGATATACTCAATTATACGCAGCAAAAACCATCATGGCTAGGAGGAGTTTAAAAAGGGTGATTTTCCTGCAAATTGGCGCAACAATGTAGATTTCTGACAATTCCATCTCCTCCTTCTCTCCTCCTTTTTGCATCAATCCATTAGAGGTTTCATCATCAACCATCACAACCAAAAAGAAAAAAAAAGCCTGCAGCGTTCCAAGCATCGAAAACCTTCCTCACTCGACTTGTACATCTCATTGCGTATTTTCTAGACCGGCCCCCTTCACAACCACTCACAACCCACCACTTGTACCACCTTAACCACAAACAACCACCATAATGCACAAGCAAGTAACATCCTCACTACTCCGGAGGTCCTTCCTTCTTTCCAGGGGTAGTACCAATGGCAGGACACCATCTTCACTTCGTGGTGCAGGTGCATCCCTCCTCACCACCACCACCATCATCCCCCTTCAACAACCCCAACCCCAACATCAACCTTACACCCATCAACATGTCCAAACCCGCCACTACTCCTCCCACTCTCCCATGGGCCTCCCGCCCACCACCCCTCGCAAAAAGGTGACGCTCAGCAAGCTGCAGAGCATGTACAAGAAGGGCGAGAAGATCACCATGATCACGGCGCACGACTTCCCTTCGGCGCACGTGGCCGAGCACGCGGGCATGGACATGGTGCTGGTGGGCGACAGCCTGGCCATGGTTGCCCTGGGCATGGAGGATACGAGCGAGGTGTTGGTGGAGGAGATGTTGCTGCATTGTCGGAGCGTGGCGAGGGCGACGACGAGGGCTTTTACGGTATGTCTTTACTGTTTTATTGAAATGGGCTGTTCATTTGTTTACTCTACCCCTTTCCCCCTGTTTCTCTCATCGCTCAACCTATCTCACCTATTTCATCACATCATCGTTCCCCTACGCTTTATACATTCCCGAATCCTTCCTCCTCCCTTATTCACTACACCATACCATACCATACCATACCATACCATACCCCAAAGCAATGAACAAACACCAACTAACACCACCTCCAGGTCGGCGACATGCCCATGGGCTCCTACGAAATCTCCCCCCAACAGGCCCTCTCCACCGCCATCCGCTTCATCAAAGAAGGCCGCATGTCCGCCGTCAAGCTCGAGGGCGGCGCCGAGATGGCCCCCACCATCCGCGCCATCACCACCGCCGGCATCCCCGTGCTCGCACACATCGGGCTCACTCCCCAGCGCCAAAACGCCCTCGGCGGCTTCCGCGTGCAAGGCAAGTCCAAAGAATCCGCCAAGCGGCTGTTGCGGGACGCCCTTGCCGTGCAGGAAGCCGGTGCTTTCGCCATGGTCGTGGAGGCTGTGCCGCAGGAGGTTGCCAGCTTTATCACGGGTCTGCTCAAAGTTCCAACGATTGGGATCGGGGCTGGTAATGGCACGTCCGGACAGGTGCTGGTGCAGGCGGACATGACGGGGAATTTCCCTCCCGGAAGGTTTTTGCCCAAGTTTGTGAAGAAGTATGGGGATGTGTGGGGTGAGGCGCTGAAGGCTATTGAGAGTTATAGGGATGAGGTTAAGGGGGGCAGTTATCCGGCGGAGGAGCATACGTACCCGATGCCCAAGGAGGAGGTGGAGGCGTTTGTGGGGGATGTGAGGAGGTTGATGAGTGCGAATGCGTCGGAGACTGAGGGTGAGAAGGATGCGTGAGTCTGAGGCGCTGCGGTGTCGTTTGGTGTGACATAAGAGAAGGATAATACCCCTTGGTGGAATTTTGGGATAAAAACCTTGTTGCTGTTTGCCATTGAAGCGTTGCCCCGTGTTGGCGATGTACATAATAATTGATAGATATCTTTGCTGATAGATCATCGTGTTCTCGTCATCGTGAGTGTGGAGTGCTGTTGATGTCGATGACCTTGACGGTGTGGCGCTCTCTGGTGTCGAATGCCTTCAAATGGTCTAAAAAGCTGCTGAAGTTCCTATGGTGGTCCCAAGACTGTTGAGAAGTTCGTCGGGACGGCTCACCATAATTTCGACACCGTTTGGCATGTTGTCCTAACATATGATCCGCCTCTCTAGGTCTCCGGGTAGCACCTCCCATTCAGGTCCAGAGCAAGTAGTCATATCCGCCGCCACTCAGAGTTCTACTTGTCGGGGTTCGAATCGCCTTCTTTCCCTCGGTGCTTCTAACCATGGCGAGTAGCGAGAGTCGTCTGAGCGATAACTCCAAAAGGAGCTCGAGGACGTCAACCGTAGAAGGCAGCCAAGCACGTCTGGGTAATGAGACACGTTGTCGTAAGTCGAAAGGTACCTCGGTGAGCGTCGGGGCTGAGTTGATTACCCAAAAGACGGGGTCATCGAATAAGAAACATTCAACTGGTTCGTCGAATCTTTAAAGCACTGCAAATGATACACATCGTCAGCACAGCACTCACACACTCTCAAATATCCCTAGCATCATAGTCACCCAGACAAGATCACCAAGAAAGAAGAACCCAGGTAAACTCACCCTCCACAAATTCCCCACAACCTCATCCAGCGCCGGCGCAAATACGCTATTCACATACAAAAACACGCTGTCCGACTCCCGGCACTTGAGCGTCTTTCTTATGTACGTCATCACCGTATCGAACCTTTCCGTGCTGCTCACTTTGACCTGCTCCCTGCGGAGGGCGGGCGCCGACCCGACCGGTTTGAAGCGTATCACCACTTTCTCCTGGCCAAACTTCCCGGCTTCGGCGAGGGCGGCGGTGGCGTCCCGCGGAAGCGTCATCAGAACCGTGGAGGCGGTCATGGTTAGTGGTAGGTTGGGCGAATCGCGGCCTTCGAGGAGGGGGGAGGCTGTTGGTGAGAGGTTGTTGGAAGGGGAAGCGGTGTTGGAGTTGGAGTTGGATCCTCCTCCGAATGGGGGTTGTGGGGATGCCATTTTGGGAAATTTAATGAGTGATGGAGGGAGGTTGATGTGAATCACGGTCAAGCGATGAGCTGTTAACACAATTTCGTCCTGTTCGTGGGTGTTTGCTTTCCTTTCCCGGTGATGACGGAGATGACGAAGGGCTTGGACCGGTTGTTCGGATGAGTAACTCTTCGTCTAGTGCGCTTTCACAGCACATATGAGATTATTGAGGTTCGGTGATCGTAGTATCTAGCTGATTTTGGTTGTAAGCTGCGTCTTTCTATCGAGTGAGGTTGATGATGTTGACGATGATGCTGATGGATGTCAAGGATCAGCTGGGCAACGAGACGACAGTTGATTGGTGACTGCCTGGGAGCGTTGAAACGGAAAGGGAGAAAGAAAGTGGAGCCATGGTTGCATCAAGCTGCCCAAAGTACGGGCGTAATCACGAAAGGGTTAGGGTTGCTGTGGTCTTGGACGGAATATTCGTCCCGATGACCTGGAATCTGGATATCAAAACTCAAAAGGAACCCGAGATCTCGATTGAACATGAAAGACCTGACGATATCGTTTGTGATCATCTCTCAAAGTAGTAAAGAAGAGCGCATGCGACTGCGACGGAAACATCTCCGGGAATCATCGGCTAGAGCTAAGAGATCTGAATGGAGGTCAACCAAAAGTGTGAGAGACAACTTGTGCAACATGCAAGGGTTATTAGCGAGCCTGCACAAGTTGTTTATCTCCCTTCATCTCTTTGGATCGTGACCAACCTCAATCCTCGATGACTTGCATATGGAGAACTCCACCGCGATATAAAAACGTCAACATTGTCTGTCCCGTAGCATTCTTTCATCGTGTGTCACTATGGCAAGATGGGTTATGGTTATGATCGGCACGTGGAAAGATACGAGGTCAATCTTGATGAGCGAGCATTCCAGCGGAAGCGGAAGAGATACGAGTCAATCTCGATGAGCGAGCATTCTAGGAGGAGCGGAAGAGATACGATTTGCCCATCAATTGGGCTGTATGTACACTACACGTGTAGATATTCCTATGTACACTAGCTCTCACCGGCTTGATGGTCGTACACGGGTATGGACTGGGAGGCATCATCGAGAACGGCGATACCCTTTTGCGGGGAAGTACAGAGATATGATGTGACGGAAGCCGTACCCCCACACGATCATCCCCGGAGCGTTCGTTCCCGTTGCTGAATCGTCAACCGTGCTCAAAAAATATCGATATCAATACAATATCGCGCGCTTTCCCGGGTCCGTCGGCGGGCGTGTGCTTGTTTTGGTTTTCTTTACGTGGAAAGGATCAATCCCGGTGTGTGTGTTGCCGTCGTGCCGTCGTCGAGTCGAGTCGGCCACCAGCTCTCAGGTCGGCGTCCAAACTTCCCTGTTCCGCCGTTGTTGTAGCACAAGGTATAGTGTAAAGACCGAGAAAGGAACGGCACGCGAAAAACAATGAGATGTTTGGTGTGGAGCGGCCGTTTCATTGGAGGGGCATTGGACGGAGTACTTGAATGGATGGTCGGCCGGTGCAAAATGGCTGATGGTCGGAGGTCTAGAACACAGTGAGAACAAATGGGCAAAGCCTTCCAGCGCAAGGCTGACAGCCATTGGAAAGGTGCAGCCAGTCAGAGTGCGCTTTGCCACAAGCCACTGCCGGCTTGGCGGTGGGTCCGCCACTTGTGCAAATCGAAAAGTGGCATGATTTTCAGGGCAAATGGGCTCAAAGTCGTTGAAGCTGCGTCAGAACCCCAGCAAAAGTGGCAGCAAAATCCCAGGGTCCCCGATTGGTCTCCTTCACTGATCTTCCCCCTTGGTCGCCCTCTTCAGCGAATCGACACCCCATCAACTCTCTGATCCCCAGCGATCCATACCCTCGAGGGCCCGGCGTGCGCTTGAGTGAAATTCGCCATGGAAAAAGTCAGGCCATGTCGACAATCGACAACCTAATCAAGCCAATCGGCTTGTCTGGCCTGCGTTCCAACCTGCGACCGATCCCGATGGTTCCTCTTTTCTTTCTTTCTTTCTGTGTCTGTCTGCTCGATGCGAGACGGCGGGCGATGGGGAACGGAGGGGGATGGGGACTGATCCTTCCTCGGCCGTTCTCCCTTTCAGCGAGGTTGAGCGAGTGCGAGGGTCGGTTGTGAGAAGAGGAAAGAGGAAGGAAGAATCGGGATCGAAGAAAATCCTTCCATCGCTTGTGTTTTATCGCTTGGGATGTCCTGCAAAAGGCAAGAACGAGCCGACTCTGCATCTGCAATCTCTTGCAGCCTCCACTGTTACCCAGGGTCGCTGTTAGACGCCCGTATTTATGACCTGCTCTTGCCTTTCCTACCGAGGCCGATGTGCACCAGTGACTGCGACTGCAGTGCATAACACGCAAGGAAAAGGAAAAAAAAAGGTGAAGAAGTGAAAGAGCAAATATTCGGTTATATCGCCTTGTACATGTGGAGTACCTCCCACTTACATGGAGGCACAGTGTACACAGTCTTCCAGCTAGCAATTGGTGGCACGAGGAAGGACTGCACCCCATGCCGGTACCTTTCGTCTACTTCCCTCGTCCTCACCTGGGCAAAAGTACACCTGCCTCCAACGAACACCCAGGCAACAAACGGGACCGGTATTGTTTTGTTCTCAAGCTGGAGAAGTTTCAAACTGGGACCATCCGGGTCTGACCTAAACACGAAACCACCTTCGTTCCATTTCAGATGTCATCTTCGTTTGGACTTTTGCCTCCTTTTCTACTCTTTGTCTTGTCGTCGAGTTGCGCGGTACCTTGCGGCCAGCTACCTTACACTACCCACGGCAGAGAAGGCGATTTGCTGGGCGCGTTCAGTTACACTGTACTGTCCTCGGCGGCTACTAGTGGAAGAAAGAGGGCAGAAACAGACCAGTAAAATAACGGGCTAGGTTCTCGTAAAAGTCCAGACTTTATTGTTCTCCATTGTAAGTCAACACCCAAATATTCCTGATCCCTTCTGTTTCGCGCCGTTGGCGACATACAACCGTGGCATCTGGAACGTCCAGGTCTCCAATTCTTCCATCCCGCTCCATTCCTGCACCGCACCCGACAAATCTCGAGCAGTCCGGAGTGTCGAGTCCCCTCCCGTTCGCTGCCTACACGTACTACCATACATACCTTACCTCTACACTGCATTGGCGTATCTAACATACATGACATGTTGACATAGCGCCGACACACCTGACATACGTACCGGACGGTAATAGTAAAGAGGTACCTGACGTTAACCGACAGCTTCCAAGGGCCCCCTGGAATCATCCCACGATTTCCGCCCCATCTTTGCGTCCACATCTCACATCCATCGTCGGTCCCTCCTTTCCGGGTCTTGGGTACTATCTGTGCTATCTGGCTGGATCTACCTGTTTGACATTCTCCAAATCTTCAACAGAGGTCATTGCTGTCTTTTGATATTTCTCCTTTTCTACTCCGAGACAACCTCTGGAAAAAAATCACCGCCCGTCCCGGCCACCACCACCATCACCACCACCACTTACATCAACTCCAACGCTCGAACCGCGCATTCGCACCGCAACCGCCACCCGTCCGTCCTTGAACCTCAAGCGCTCACAAGTGGCCCTGTTCCCCGCCGGCACCGCAGTGCTTACCCGCTCCGTTGTCCCACGATAATATCTCGCACGGCACTCGCTCCATATTCAGGTTCCCAACCTAGACCTACCTACAGACATTAGTTCTAGGTCCTTGGTACTAGCTGCCCGCCGCCCACCTGTCTCTGCTTGGCGACTTGCTGCTGTTGGTGAACCCTACCTCTGGCCTTTGGCCAACAGATCCACGCAACTTTGTACGCCGTGTTCATTGTTTGCGAAACCTCTGGCCTCTTCGGCTTTGCCAATCCCCGGCCGTCGTCTCCCGCCTTCCTTCCTCAACAATCTGGTGATTCACACCACCTCCGGCGGATTTTGGTCCCACCCAATTACGCACACTTCAAGCAGTTGTGTTGTTCAGTCACAGAGCTTTGGGCCAGTATCCTACGCCAAGCTTCTGATTGTCGCGCCACCCGCCCTCAGTGTCTTTCGGCCCTTCATTTTCAACTGATCAAGATACTAGTCGACAAAAAGACGACATTTACTTTGTGGGCTGGAAACAAGACGGTTAAAAAGGAAAAAAAAGGAAAAAAATAGGAGACACAGGCTCGAGTCTCCATCGTTCAGCTACCCACTGTTCTGGTGCCATTGCATTTCCCTCCCTCCACCAATCGACGACTAGCCCCCCCGCAAGTCTGGGCTTTGACCGAGAAACCCCTTTCGAGCTTGTGGTAGACATATGCATATGATCTACAACACAAAGTTGGAACCCAACACCAACCCCTCACCTTCTCACACGTCCTTACTCTTCTCGGCCACGAGGCTTCCGGTTATCCCGTCGACGGTTTCAGCTTGACCTCCGCGATCTTCATCATCGCCGCCTCGTTTCCGTGTTAGTCTCGACAGCCTCACGGCATGCCCAGGTAACAAGATGGATCCCAACACGCTCAGACATCTCGAGTACTTCTCAGTACCCAATCATCAGGTAGCGCTCTCTACTGTGCCCTTGCTATCTGTCTTGTCTCGCTGCTGACGCTGCCCAGACGGTCAATCCCGTTGACCAATCTTACACCTTGCCAGGGTCTTCCTCTGCGCAGCCAGCGACACTATGGGGCACCGCGCCATCATTGGAAGCCAGCCATTCTGGCATGAACTCGACGGCACCGACGACTATGTCCCTTGACTCCCTCCCACAACCTTCTCCAGCAACCGCTTTCACTGGCATGTCCGCTCATCCTTCCATGACCCGACGGCCCTCCATGTACGGAAGTCAATCCGGAATTTCGTCCTCGAGAGCGTCCAGAACCCGGGAAGGCCATGAAAAGAAACGAACAAGGCTGAACCCGGAGCTATCGCCTTTTGATGAGCCGGACTACTGGTTGCAGTTCGACAATGACGACAACTTCGATGAGCTTTCAGAGGTTACCGAGCCCTCTCACCAGGACCATCAAGGGAAAGGAAGAGCCCCGCAGCTGTCCCAACAACAACAACAGCAGCAGCAGCAGCAACAGCAACAACAATCACAACAACAACGGTAGGTTTAACCCCATAAACCTCTGGACCCAAGAAACTTTAGTTCCTAATCGTTTTCGTTACCTTTTCAAGACGTCAGAGCACGGCACACTCAATAGCAACAACGGCCCCCACTCGCCGGAGAACTGCTGGTACGCTAAAATCCGAGGAATACATGGATGACAGCGCCTTGGATAATGCTCTATCGGAGGATGAGCGGGCGATGTCCCTGAACCTGGCTGAGCAGCTTTCCAAAGTAGATACAGCTCCACCGCAGGAGGTACCGCCGCGTGAAGGTCTCTACTCGACACCCCTTAGCTGGGAGCGCCCACAACCCGGCCTCAGAATGGACTCCCTAATAGGACTCAACCAACAAGCCCTGAACGAGGCCGAACAACGACGACTGATTGCGATTGCCATGAACCCCGGACCCAGCATGGGAGGACTCGGCTCCAACATCAGCCTCAACTTTGGGAGTATGGCAACCGGGTTCAACTCGGGATTTGGCTCAAGTTATGGATGTTCATCGATGGGCGGTGGTCAGATGTCGAAGCCTGTATCGCCGCCGCGAGCGAGCACGTCATCCCAGTCCAGACCGGTACCACCGAGACCACCCCAGAGGCAGGGCAGCATAAGCGAAAAGTCGAGCGACAAGATGAGTGTTGCCGACAAGAACAGAAAGGCGGCAGAGGAAAAGCATAGGGCTGGTGATCGGACGGCTCATAATGATATCGAACGAAAATATCGGACGAATCTCAAGGATAGAATCGCTGAGCTGCGAGACGCGGTTCCTGCGCTTCACTCAATGGAGGCCGGAGGAGTGGAGGATGACGTGTCGCAAAATTCGAGAGCGCCCAAAGTCAGCAAAGTCAGTTCGCCCCTGTGAACAGAAAGTGAGAAATTGTGGAGGGGACACTACTAACATTAGACTACAGGGAACAATTCTCACCAAAGCGACCGAATACATACATCAGCTCGAGCGGAGGAACAAGCAAATCACCCAGGAGCACCGCGAGCTCGCGAAAAAACTGCAGGCGTTCGAGCAACTGCTCAATCACACGGCCGTGACGGCGTACCAGATGCCCACGTATAGCAGTACCTTGTTCGATCCTAGAGGATTCTGCTAAAACGCACGTTAGCGTTGAAAAAAGAAGGTTATGCGATTTATGCGACCGTGTATTGTTTCTTTTGTTCGGCGTTTGCGCATATTTAGCATCGGGCGCGTTTCCTTGTCGTCTTATTCACTTATAAAGTGTAAATATTTCTTTTTCATCAAGGGCTTTTTGATTTCGTTATCAATCCCAGCTTTTTAAACCCCACATTAGTCACTGGCTCCAAGCTTGTTATGTGATTTTTCAAGGGGAGAGAAAAGAGGAGGACCTCTGTGTGATAGCTGCGGAAATTTTGCTATGGGGAAAAGTTCTGCGTGGATTTGGTGGTCATTCATTGGGGAAGAAAAGGGTGTTGACGATACGAGGCGATGGGGGAGCTGAAAAGTTATCAACCTACGGACGAGAAGGATGAATGGAGATCCTTTATGGGGCAACCACAACAGACTTAAAGAGGCGGGTTGCGACAGGTTGCGATGCGTTTAGCTTGGTTGGCGGTGTCCGCGAGCTTTTTATACTACCGAACAGTTTTTGAAAATCGAGAGGAACTGAGAAAGAATTGGAACCTCATTGCTGAGATCACATATCGAGAATTTCTTCGTGATATCGTCGGTAAATTTTTGATTAGATGCCGATGATGTTTTGCGGTGTTGAAGAGTATGGACATGACAATATAGATGAGTGAAGTTGTCGTGATGTCTGGGGATCTATTTACTTCCCGACCTTACCGATCTGCGAATGGTGACCACCACGCTGAGTGACGTAATGATGGAGCTCCTTCAGACCTTCGCTTCCAATTTTTGGTTAGGCTAGTCGATCGATGGAAGAGAAAACTTTTCTTTCTAGAAGACTTCGTTGGATTGTACATACGGGTGGAGTGGGATGGATTGAATGAATGGCTGTTTAAGATAAGGTATGTGAAGATGCTCATGGCAGGTAGGTATAGACATACATATATATCACGATGCAGCGCAAACAAGGCCAGAAATTACTGCAACGAAAATAAACCAGACCACAGTCGGAAAGAACGACCATCACTCTCTCGAATAATGAATTTCTCTGATGGTGTATTCATACAATAGAATACACAAAATATACACAGCACTATTCTTTACACAACGGCTCATCTACACAACACACAGCCCATCCCCATCCCCATCCCTTCCCCTATTTACAACCTACTCACCCCCTCAAAGCCTCAATATCCACAACCTCCTTAACCGCCTCCGTCGTCAAAATCAGCGGGCTATCCACATCAACCACCACGCTATCCTCAATCCTAACCGCCAATCCCCTGAAATGCTCCGGAAACCTCTCATCATCAGCGGGGACATACACTCCCGGCTCAATCGTCACCGCGTGTCCTTGCCTGAGCGTCAACCCGCGCGAATACCCGGGGGTATCATGCACATCCAGCCCAACATAATGGCCCACATGATGCGGGAACAGCACATCCATCTTTCCTCCCCCTCCTCCTGACAGGTCGAAGCCAAGCAAAGTAAGTTGTTCCCGCAGACCGGCTTCCGTGGCGCGGTGGATCTGGTCCAGCGACAGGGACGCATTCTCGCGGCATAGGGAAACCATTTGGCGTTGCACGGTCAGGACTGCCTGATACAAGTCCCGCTGCGCAGCAGAGAACTTGCCGTTGACGGGCCACGTGCGCGTGATATCAGTTATGTAAGTCCCGTACTCGCCGCCGGCGTCTACCAGGACCATCTGGTTCTGGTCGAGAAGGCGGTTGTTGTGCACGTAGTGAATCATGTTTCCTCGGGAACCGCCGGCGACGACAGGCACGTAGGCCGGGCCGGACAGGCCGTTGGCTGTGAATGCGTAGTTGAGGTAGGATTCTAGATCCTTTTCTGAGGACCACGAGCGGCGCATGGCGGAGGTGAGGGCGCGTCCGGAGATGCGACCCGCGTGGCGCATGTTGGAGATTTCGGCCGGGGATTTTATGGCTCGCAAGGAATGGACGAGGCCGGCGAGGGGGGAGGGCGGGAGATGTAAATGTGAGAGGAGGGTGGTGACCAATTGCCCGGTTACCGGAGTGGAGGAAGTGATGTCGGTGTAGATTTTTGAAGCACCGCGGAGGATGGGCGGCAGGAGTGATTCCACGCGGGCAATGTCGCCGGTGAAATCAGCGTTGAAGACATCCTCCGCTGCTTGCAGCCCGGACCAGGGGCCGGACCATTGCTCGGCGCGCGGGTCTTTGGGGCGGCAGAAGAGGTGGAAGACGTAGTCGCCTGGTTTGGGGCCCGTCTTTTGGATGATGGCCAGGGAGTCCGGCTCGGAGAAGCCGGTTAGGTACAGGAAGTTGGAGTCCTGGCGGAAAGGGAAGAAGACGGCGCCGGAACGGTATTTGAGCTCCGAAGAGGCCAGGATGGCGATGCCGTTCTCTGGTAAGGCGAAGGCGAGCTTGGAGCGACGCTCGTGGTACTCTTGCGCCGTGATGCCCGGGGTTAGTTCACCCGGTTGGAGCATGTGCGGGTGCGTTTCGTAGACGGGTTGGCCGAATTCGAGGTCGGCGGCTGAGACTACTGTTGGTGTTGTTGCGTAGGTTCGGGATGATGGACGGCATGGTGTTGATGATGCGGGGATGGACGAGGTGGACTTGGCGGATTGGAGACGTGGTTGGAGAGGCCAGTTAGTTTGATGAGGTCGCAGTTGGCGAGAACATTGCCGCAGTGCGGCTCTGGGGAGCTTCATGTCAAAGGGTGGTTATGGTGGTGAATGAGGAATATGGTGGTGAATGAGGAATGTGGTGGTGGTTAGGTGAGGGTGAGAGTGAGGTGTGAGTTCACCTCGGTGGTGTAGGTGAACTTGGGATGGCTCGCGGTCTTCGAGAACAAGACAGGTTTGATATTGGGACTAACAACCTAAACTCTAGTTACAAACTTTAACACGGATCGGTTGGAATCTTAAACCGTGACCAACCTCAAAATTCCCAAATGACATACACCGCGAGAAATGAAGTTGAATTGCTTCACGAGCGGAGAAAATGTTTGTTCAAATGTCTTGGGAAGGCAAAGACATGGCATGTCGTCACTTTGTCGCTCTCACGTTTGGGCGTTGAAATGAAAGGCTGACAGTTGCCAGGCGTTTGACTGGGCTGCCAAGAGTTCGGGCTTTGCTGGGCAATTGGTGTTGCCTGCCAGCTGCAAGCCGCGGATGTGGAGCCGGTATTAAGGACGCGGAGCATTTACCAGCAGCAACAACAGACCACAGCTGCCAGCGTCAGGACGCGGTGCACTTTAATTGTTAGCAGCGCTTTTCTCAGTGCAACCCCGGCGCCTGGAACTCCCCACATTGCACATTGGCTGCTGGGATCTGCCGCTCCCGTCGCGACTGTCAATATCAAAACCAAACACTTGCGTACTGCACCAAGGTTTTTGACCATCCGACATCAGCGTCGTCGACTGGCTACCTTGGGTAACGGCGCGACTCGACATTTGGAGTTTGTTTTTCAACAGCAGGCCCTCTTACTTCCCATCATCGAAGCATAGCGCGTGGTTGCCAATTGCGACGGACCAAAACCTCCAGCGACGAAAATCGAGAGCGAGACGCGTTTTTGAATGCTGAAGAGAACAGTGCACACCAACCCAACCTCTCTCTCCACGACCGAAACCGACGCCCTTTTACGCCAGGCTAGGGTCGATTACTTCCTTGCTCCTTCCTCTCCAGCCAACGACAACCCTCGACGACAAATAATTATCCAACCGCATTGGGTCATTGTCGACCATCATCGACCATCGATCACCAAGGCCTAACCACTTTGTTTTGTTCTTGTCTTTCGAGTCGCCGACTGCCAACACCACCCACAACACGAATCGAGTCTTGGGTTATCCGGGCCCCCCTACCCAAAGTCCGAGCTAGTAGCAATCAGCACGCGACCAGACCAGACAGACAGACAAAGCCGGAAGCTGTCTCCCTCCCTTGTCGAGCTATCGATAGTCCTTGCCATCCATCCCCGAGCCGACCCGTTCGAAACAAAACAACAAACAATAGTAAACACCACATCCATAGCATGTTGACTGGATATCTATAAGACGACAGTATCTCTAGATCGACAACCACAGCAGCCATGTCGACCACCACCGCTGCTGCTGCCTCGGGCACTAAGAGGGCTCCTCTCTCCGACAACCCCAATGCCGCCAACTCGCCGCTGCGTGGGTCCTCGGCTACCGCCTTGGCACTACAGGGCTCTAAAAAGGCCGTCCGCTCCCATGCCGATCAGCTTAGAGAGGAGCCATACGGTCAACCACCGCCGGCCAAGAGACAGATGATTGAACATGGCGGTCAACGCGCCGCCGCCTCGCCGACGAGTGGAAGCAGGTCTCATGTGTCCAACATCATGCGGAAACCCTCGACGATATCCCGGACCGCCGCCGAACGTGCTTCGTCCAGAACCACATCCACCACGGCTACCAGCACCCGTGCCGAGAGGTCGCATGCCGCCGCCTTAACCTCCACCACCACCACAGCCAACACCACCACTGCCGACCGCATCACGGCAAAGGAACTCGAAGACCTCAGTATATGGCAAAGCTCTATGAGATCGCGCTTTCACAAGATGGTCTTCTACTTTGAAAGCATTCCCGACGACCAGCGTCACAAGCTCGCCAAACAAGTCGCTCAATTGGGCGCTGTAAGTGACAACCCCCTTGCCCAATGCACGCCCAACAGCTTACTTACACACATCCAAAACAGCGCGAGGAAAAGTTCTTTTCTATCGAAATCACCCATGTCGTCACCACCCGCCCCATCCCTCCCGTAAAGCCAGTCCAGGATGAGAACCAGCCCGGCACCAGCACTCAGTCAGCCAGTGAACAGCCAAAGACGATCGATCCCTCTCTCCTGAGCCGCAATGGCGAATCTGTCCGACGAAAACTCATTTTCGATAAACCTTCAATCCGGAAATCCTCGGTGCAGCCCCAGGAAGAGACGATGCCGAAGCCGAAAGCACGCAGCACCGATATCCTGCACCGTGCACGGGACATGGGCAAGAAGATCTGGTCATTGGATAAACTCCAGAGGATCCTCGGCATGGTACTTGAGACTGACCTGTACAAGGCTGCATGGCTGGGCCGAGGTCATACCCCCGCGGCCGCCGACAGGGCCAAGGCTCGCCAGCAGACTGCCAATGTGCTTCAGATGCTTCAGAATGAGCGTGTGCACGGTCCCTCTGACCGTGATCCCACAGTTGTTACCAAGGACATCCACTACTTCAAGGGTCCTTACATTTATGTATACGACATCGAAGAGAAGACGAGGCCGATCATGGTGAGGGAGTACCACAGAGTTGCTGACAAGAAGGACGGCGAATGGCCTCAGTTCCGGGTGGCGTCTCAAGGCCGTTGCCCATTTGTTGAGGATTACGATCCCCCTGAGAGAACGAGGAGGACCCAAGCGAAGGAGAAGGTTACCAAAGCTGCGGAAGCCGCTGCTGCTACCGAAAAGGCCGCCGCTACCAAGAGCCTCCAGCCCCCTGAGGTGCCGTCACCCAAGCCGGTCACTGGAAAGCGTACTCTTAAGGAGATGGAGGCACCCAACGACCGTGCTGCTGAAGTTGTTGACAACGTCCCTGAGACCGTCGAGTCGGTCAAGGAGTCCACCCCATCGGTTGATTTCCGTTCGCAGAATGCCTTCATGAGTCACACCACCAAAGTTGGCCGTCTGGTGGCTGGAGAGCCCGTTGCTTCTGGTATTCAAGCCAACAAGCTCACATCTGCCATCCGCTCTCAGATGGTGTCGTCCACCACCGGTGTCCTTGGCGCCAAGGCCGGTATCAGCAAGGAAGTTTTGGGACTTCAGCGCAAGGTTCTTCAGAAGGCCAATGTTCCTTCACTTTCGCAAGACTCTGGCTCTCGTCGCTTGGCCGAGATTGGTGTAGATGGTGCCCAATGTACCCGTGCCGCCAGTTTGGGCAACCCAACGAGGCCTCCGATGCCTGAGATCTGGGAGGATGATGAAGCTCGGAAGCAGGAACAGGCCAAGAAGGAGAGGAAGCTACGCAGGACCGCGAGCACTCCCGCCCCTCAGACAAAGCCGAAGCCGCGCGATCCCAAGCCGGGTTACTGCGAAAATTGTCAGGATAAGTTCGAAGACTTTGATGCGGTAAGTTTTTAGATATCGGGGTTTATTGTGATGGTTTACTAACATTATGATAGCACATCCTATCCCGCAAACATCGCCGCTTCGCCGAGAACGACGACAACTGGGCCCAACTCGACGCTCTCCTTGGCAAGCTCTCACGCGCTCCCCGCGAGCCGCGTTACCGGTCCGTGGATAATGAGAGGTGGTAGTAACCTGCTGCCGCACATGAAACTGCCCATGGCTCCTGACGACTACTTGTACTTGCTTTCCCTTCTTATTTGGCCTTTCATCTCCCTCCCTTTCTACCTACGATTCTCTTTAAGTCAGTCAGGAGTCATGTGCCGGTTATCGTGTATCATCAATCCATTGTTGGAGTGGTTTTCTTTCTTTACGAGGATCCCAACAAACAAAAGTTCATTACACTAGCATATTATGGGCGCGGGAGTTCCGGTGGCTTGTCTTTGACGGGGCGTTATGTCCGCTTCTCTGTTTATACTAAACCCCTTTTGTTTCTTTGGTGAACAAGCTGGGTACGGAAGGTAAAGGTGGAAGATGGATGCCAAGGTTGGGTTTATGGTCGTGTGCGTGGGGGTGTTGACGAACGAACGGCTAAAGTGGCATTACGTTATGGTCAGTCAGTCACTTGAGGACCAAGCAAAGCGCTGGTGGTATCATCGCCGTTGTTTTTTATGGTACTTTGTTTACCAACAAGCAAGCGACCATTATGTGGAACAACACAATCCGGTTATGCATATTCTCATTATGTCGAGGGGGATACCCAGTTATGTTATGGAGGCCAATATCTGGTTAGGTCATCATTGTCATGGTCTCTCTGTCGGTGTCATGGTTCCTGGCTAGGGCGGTTTAGGATGGATGGTCCGTCCACTCACTCATTAGTAAGAGAAAGAGGTGGACAAGCTTGTGGTGGCATGCTTTTGTCAGCATGGCCATAGCGCGTTCAAGAATAAGATACTACTATCTGTTACACTTTATGTATGTCTATAAATGTATCATATGCTTGTTGGTAGTGAAGAGGTTATGTATCAGTTACGACGATGCCGTAAGGGTCTTTGTGAGTTCGAGACCAGAGTCTCTTCACCGATCTTTCACATTATGGCCAAGTGCTTTCCCTTCCGTCCTATTCGCCGATCAGATCAGGCCCGGCCCGGCCCGTTACCACGTGGTAGCGGAACCCATTTGCTCACCACTCACTTCCTTGTCCATGTTCTCTCCAGTTTTTACCAGCTCCTTATATTCAACACCGTCTGAAGTTTGCCTTACTACGATATCTTCAATTGTTGCCTCCTCTATCTCTCTCTCTCCCTCTCTCTATTCAGTCATAGAGCTCCTATTATCCCTCAACTGTAGCGACCCCAACAAATACAGACCCCAAAATCTTCCAAGGTAACCACTCCTCTGTCCCTCCGTAGGTAGGTAGAGTTCCAAATACATACTCCCCTAATCGATCGGACTTAAGCTCTGGCTGGCTTCGGAATTTTCTGGACAGTTTCTTTCTCCTCTTCATTACCTTCCTATCCTCATCATCGCCTCTTCTGTCAATGAATCTACCACTTCCCAAATCCCCCCAAGGCACGTACGTGGGTGTACTACCTCCATCTACTTACACCTACACCCACACCTACACCTACACCTACACCTACACCTTCACCTTCACCTTTACCTTCATATCCACTCCACTGACCGATCTTGCTTTCCCCATTAATCATCAACGTTCAACCACAAGCCGTTCAAGGTATTTTATCATCAGCAAGCATCAGCATCAATGTGGCCTCTTCCACTGACTGACGGCCTTGCTGAATTCGGGCGGGCATCAAACACGGTAAAATACGCCAGAATTGACAAAATGGTGGTGAGTGGTGGATGGTGGAAGTGGTGGTGGAATTAACAAACGAAGTCCCATTTGCATGCGGATATATGTCTACGGTAGATACCCAAGATATGTAAGATGGGTATGTAAAGATGGGGGTATGTTTTGGTATTTTGGTGGCGACTGGTCACCGCTGCGGAGAGTACGGGACTGAGGGCTGGATGATGGATCAGCTCTGTCGGGTACGTACCTCGCGCCCGCCAAGAGTCGAGCCGAAAGGAAGTAACATGAAACGGGTCGCTAGTTAAGAAAAAGTGAAGTGACGATATAGAGATGTTAGTGAACTAGGCCCAGCCCAGGTCTCTTCAACGTGCCTTCACATTTTGTTCAAAATGGACACACGTGCATTGCATTTCCTCTGATACAATCATCAAGCCCTTTCGTCTCCCGTCCCGTTCGTCGATCTTAAGGTTGTCTGATCCAGGTCCAGGTCCGGCCCGGCCCGGCACTCCACCGAGCCTACCCCCACCGGGACTCCGGGACGGGCCTCGGCCCCACTAATCCCGGAACCTGACCCCGCATTCCCCGCTTTTACTAACGGGAGGTCTGGCGAACTTTGACGGAACGTCCGAGGCGCCGTCCGAACCCAGAATTTATCTGAGTAGTGAAAGTGTCGATCGGCATTGTGAAGTATTTCGGAGGAACAATGCTTGCCGTCTGAGTCAACGCCAAGAAAGGCAGCAGCGCGGGGACGGTCGGCGAGGACGGGAGCGGGAGCGGGCACATACCGAACGGTAATGAATGGTGCGGGGAAAGATGGGAAATCGACATTATTGGCCTTCTGACGGAACGGAGAATGGGACACCAACAATCAAAAACACCCGATCTTTTTCTCCCTCTTGCAAAACTCTATTACACTGATCCGATCGTTACTAATACCGTTGCCAACGCTTTCGACTCTCATCCAAAAGCATAACGTCATTGAAATCCGTATCTTCAACCTCCTCACCCATCTTCTCGGAACCCATCACCTCTTTCACACTTCCCTGTTGACACTAGACAAGCTAGCCTCCCGTTTGCTCATCGCATCCAAATGACATCGCGACTAAACAACCTCGCGGCCTTCCACCAAAAGCTCGCCAAAGCCGATCGCATCCTGGCCATCTGCGGCGCTGGACTCTCTGCTGCATCGGGACTCCCACCTTCCGCGGCGCCGGCGGACTATGGAGAAACTATGAAGCTACGGACTTGGCGACTCCGGAGGCGTTTGCTGAGGATCCGGGGTTGGTGTGGTTATTTTATGCTTATGTATGTCTGAGTCTGATTCCATGGATCCTTTCTGCTGTCCTTCACCAGCTTTCTCAAACGGAAACCTGAAGATATCATATGTATACGGTGCTTCATAGCCGAACGAAGCCCGAATATGCTACCCAGGTACTGACGAAAGAAACTCTTACCACCCAGCGCCGACACATGGCCCTCCAAGTCAAACCCAACTCGGGCCATCACGCCCTGGCCGCCCTCGCCCGCGCCAAACCAAACTTCCTATGTTTAACCCAAAACGTAGATAACCTCTCTCCGCGCGCCGGCCACCCTTCTTCCCAACTACGCACCCTCCACGGCTCTCTGTTTACACTTAAATGCTCTTCTGCTACCTGTGAGAGCTTACGAGGGAGCCTTTTCGTATCCGACAAAAAGACATAAAATCCATAAATCATGCATGTTTTTCTTTCTTCTTCTTCTTCTTCTTCCCCTGGTAGCTGCACCTACGTCGAACCAAATAACACCCTCGACCCCTTATGTCCCGCCTTAGCACCAGCATCCGTTGATCCGCCTGACCCTTCCCAACCGGGGAAAATCCCCCTTTTGGATCCTTCACACCCTTTACCAACTATTGCGCCTTCGCAACTGCCGCAATGCCCTCGTTGTAAGGAATCGGGAAAACAAAGTCTGCTAAGACCAGGCGTCGTCTGGTTCGGCGAGTCTTTAGATGCCCAGATGTTAAAGGAGGTAGATGATTGGATAGATCAAGGTCCTATTGATATCGTGCTAGTGGTGGGGACGAGTAGCGTAGTCTATCCGGCGGCGGGGTATGCGGAGCGAGCAAGGACAAAGGGAGTAACGAGCGTGGTGACGGTTAATAAGGAGGTTGAGAAGAGGATGTGGAGGAGACCAGAGGATTTGGCGTTTCAGGGGGGCGCGGAGGAGTGGTTGGGACGGATGTTTGAGCCGCTGATTGGGGTGTTGGGTGAAGATGGTGGTGGTGCTGCTGCTGGTGTAGAGGAGGGGGGAGGCAAAGGGGGTGAGTAAAAGGGGGTGAAGAGAGGATGAGGAGAAGGTGAAAAGAAGGTGAGGAGGGGACCGGGAAAAGATGAAAAGAAGGTGAAGAAAAGGAACAGAAGAATATAAAGAGAGGTGATAAGGGATAAAGACGGGATGAAGAGAGGTTGAAAACTGAACGAAAAGTTCAGTTTCGGTTACCGAACAGAGATCTACTACCACGTGGGAAACGGGCTCGACTATGGTATTGCGCATACTCCTCAGTAACTACTCTCCGGCACATATACGGTAGTGCATATGCAACCTGGGCAAACTTTCGTCCCAAAAATATCCCGGAGTAGCTTCTCCTTCTCCCCCCTTCGAAAAGTGTTGCCCTCCAGTTCTCTTAGACCCATATCACAAGCTGAAATACGTCGTCTCTTTTGTTTCTTTTCCATCTCCCCGTTATCGAAACCCATCAATAGGAAACAAACCCGGTGTTACCAGCCGTTACACAACACCATGATCTACGCTGCGCATCGGGTAGCACAACATTAACAATGTCTCAAGCCTCAGCTTCGATCTTTGATACCATGTACAAAAAGAGTTGGTCCGCGGTCTATCCGCCTCTTGCGTAGTCCAGTCACAACCTGAATGATGCATTTCACTTTGATGTCGATACAAGCGAACAAAACATCGGCCAGACAGCAGCATTTGCCTTCTGTGGTGTTTAACTCCGATGAGATGCTAGAGCCTACTTGTGAAGGAAACCTGAAATTGGGGCTGGTGTTAACTGTTAACTCTGAACCAAGTTTACCATCAGGTCTTCCGTCCCATCGACTATGTCTATCTGTTCAGTCCTACCTGTCCTTTAGCATGCCTTTTTTGAAGAAGAGATCAAAGCTTGAGGAAAAGCAAACTAGGTAATCTTTCTTCCCGCCCCTCTAGCGTTCGGAAATAAAAAGATCAAGACATCACATCACCAACCTCTACGGGAATAACTCTTGATCTTAATCCCGATCCCAATCTCGATCCTGAAAAAGTCAGCCTCAATTGATCAATCATTTATCTTCACATACCGAATGACTTTCAACAGTTCAACTCCCTTTTGTCGAGCTTCTTCCTCCCCACAGCAATCAATATCCAGAGCAAACAAACAATCCTCTTGCATTGACTCCGACTGCCTTCCCGCTGAATCCCAAATGACGAACTGTCTCCTGCCGTGTAACCAACGGCGCGCAATCCCAGGGGCAATTTATTCCACGTTCCTGTTCCTTGCATCCTTCTTAACCTCCGGCTGTCCTCCTCGCAGTTTGCTTCCCAACCTGTACTCTCCAGGTTTCCGGGAGTTTGCTTCCTATCTTCCCAGGGCAGGTTTTCCAGGTAGTTGCTTCCCGCTTGCTTCCCCGGGCGCGGTTCAATTGTACCTTGCCAATCCATTCCTCCCATTATAGTTGAGTAACGATGGCAGTTGTCCCAGTGCCGGTTCAACCTATTAGTGTTTGGGATCTCTCTGAATGCCCTACAAAATATTCCGCAAAACTCAAATGACACTGTGAATTTTGCAGGGTGCTGCAGGGTGCTGCAGGGTGCAGTAAGCAGGCTGTAGCTGCCCCTGCCAAGGCCCTGCAAAGCTCGCACCATCTCAGCGCTACTGCCGCACCTTGCTGCACTCCTGCGTTCTTCTCGGCGTTCCTTGCAGCGTTCCATGCAGTGGCCCGGGATGCACTCAGTGAGATTCGAGTTTGCTTGGCAGGGCGACAGTGAATTTCCTGGACGGACCTGCATTTTTTTTGGAACGTCGCCTGCATCGCTTCATTTCATTTCCGGATCGACTCCATCTTGGGTATCCGGTGTCTGTCATGTTGTCGCCCAATGGGGATTCTATGGGGATTGGAACCGGGAATTCGGCCGTGGATCGCAGCACGACGAGATGGGATTTGAGGTGGGCTCCGTCACGGAAATAAAGAAACGGGATGGCATGATGGAATGGGATGAACGGTATCCAGATAGCTGCTCGGCTTCGGTGAACTCGAAACGGAAAACACGGCGAAGTGAAGACGGTGAAAGCGACGGATTCAAGCGGGTTAGCAGGTGGACTGAGCCAAGTCAAAAGGAGAGTAGCCAAGCAGGCAGGAATGGAGTCGCCAAATGGGCCAAGGTGTTTGGGAAGTTTGACACGATTTTGGTATGGATGCCGACGGGATTTTACGGGATTTTTTTTTAAAAAAAATTTCATGTTTTTCTCTGTTCTGTTGAGCGCATTTTAGTTATGGGTGGTAAAAGTGACTCCAGTTCTTAATTGTTTTATGCTTTGTGACAGGTTGATTGTATTTTGCGACAAGCTCGAAACACTAAAAGGATGGAAGTGAAAGCTCGGTCATAGAGAGCAGTTGTAGACAGTAAGTGTGTTCAAAACAGTGTATGGTATTCAACAAAAAAGTCCCTCCATCAATATACATAAAATCTTTATGTCCGAATCTATAAACATATATGTTCATCCCTGTAGGCTCTTCATTTGATGTTCTTTCCTCCTCTTCCTCTTCCGCGGACCAAACCACGCTATTTGTAAGTCGGCCGCTACCATATCCCATGAACTCCTCGCAAAACAACCAAAAAGTGTGTCGCTTCGAAGGTGTGGTATATAAAAAAAAAAAGCCAAAATCGCCATAATCACCCCAAAAACGTCAATTAATGCGCGCGCTCTCTTCGTGACAAAAACATGCCGGTCGACCGAACCGATGTCCCTCTCCTCTCTTCTTTCTGCTGTAGATGCCAAACACAACCAACCGATAAATTAAACTTGATTTGTAGACATTTCAAAGCGCTCTCTGGATCAGTCTCTCAACTGCCGCCACAGGCGAGCAAGAGATGTGTGTCCAGTTCAAAAGGATCGTGGGTGTAAAAAAGAGAAGATATATAGACAGGTCGGTTGGAAGCGCGAGGATTGGATATATGCAAGTGACCAAATATCCTTTTTGTACATCCTTCAATTTTTTCCTTTCGTCATTCCTCAGACAGCACGCTTAAAGAAGCATGGCGCCAGCGAAGAGGGCAGCGCCGATCGAGGCAATGCTCATGGCGAGCTTGCCAGCACCGCCGGTGAGGACGTCACCGCTCTCGGTGGCCTCGGCAGCATCGCCAGTGGAGGTGGTGCCGTTGTTATTGAGGGTGCTGTCGATGGGGAGCGAGCTGATGGAAGAATCGGGGGCAGAGGAGGCAGAAGAGGCGGGGACGGTGCTCAGAGTGGTGGCGGTCGAAGTGGCAGTGCTGGTCTTGGAAGGAGCCTTGGTGGTGGTCTCGTCGGCGTCCGAGACAGAGGTGCCCGAGATGACCTTGATGCTCTGCCAGGTGCCGCTCTTGTCACCGTACTTGTACTCGGTGGCGTCCTTGGGGCCGGTGATACCGTCACCACCCATGTAGTCCTGGATCTTGATGCTCTGGTAGAAGCCGTTGAAGGGGCCCTCGCTGTAGTCGGCGATACCGCCGGCCCACTCAATGGTGCCCTGGGCGGCGTCCTTGCGACCGGCAACCCAGGTGCCGAGCTTGATCTGCATGGGGGTCTGGGGGAAGGCGCTGCAGCCCTTTTGGCCGTCGTTCTTGAGAGTGCGGACGACAGTACCGTCGATGATCCAGTCGAGCTGGGTAGGGGTCCACTTGATGGTGTAGGTGTGGAACTCGTCCTGGGGGTTAGCGACGGGAGAGAAACCACCGCGGTCGTAGGTCTCGGTGCAACCCTGGCTGAAGTAGTTGGTCTGAACCTGGGTGTGGTCGCTGCCGATCCACTCCCAATCGATCTCGTCGAGGTCATCGGACTGAAGGACGAAGCTGGTGACAATACCCTTGCCGAAGGCGGCCCTCACGGTAACGTCGACCTGGCCGAAGAAGATGTAGCGGGAGCTAGCAACGGTAGGAGCATCGGTCTCCTTCTTGATGGTGTAGACGGCGCCAAGCTTGTTGTCATACTTGATGGTGGTGCCGACCATGTTCTTGAAGAAGTTGTCCTCGCCCTTGGTGAAGTCGATGTTGATGATCTCCTTGCCGACGGCCTTGTCATTGGGGCAGGCTGGAAGTAGTCAAGTTAGCCATTGTCATGTTTCCTTTCCTTTGGTGCTTGATAAACATACTCTTCTTGGTGGGATCGCACTCAGTGTAGGTCTGGGCGGAGACGAGCGAGGCAAGAGCCAACGCGGTAAGAGTCTTGAAATGCATGATTACTGATTTGGAGGTTGTGAAGTGTTTTGTTGTTGTATAAAAAAGTCGGTTTGTTAGTGGGAGCAAAGGTCCGTGGGCCGAAAGCAAGTATAATAGCGAGTGTGCGGTTTTAGTTCCAAACGAAGGACTGTAGATACTTCTAGCTGACACCGGGAATGGCGAGGTAGAAGGGTCAAAAGGTGATGTGCGAAGGAGTGTTTTTGAAGATTTTGGGAAACAGGGGAAACGAAGGATGAAAGAGGAAGGGCGGGTTTTGGTGGAGATGTCGAACTCGGCTCTCCATGGATCCTCGGTGCTGCTCTCGCTTGATCCGTTAACGTGATGGAGACAACTGAAGTGGGCATGGGTAGCGCCTGCCTAGCGGCCCCCCGGCGGCCCCTTGCTCGCATCTCCTTTTTTGACTAACAAAATAAAATGAGCGACCCTTGCTTCTGCGGTCGCCGTTTGTCGTCCCCAAGGAACAATTTCCAGTTGTGAAGCCAATGTCACCCTCCCGAACCAGCCAAGCCAACGTCCCAAGCGTTTCCAAGCGGTCCCAAGCCCAACAGCGCCGCGTTCAGGAGGAGCCCTTTGGAACCCAACGCCACCAATCAGACGTCACGGGCAAAGACCCTTGCTGGGCCCTGTTAGGGAACGCACCAGATGTGTGGCGCTGTGAACCCATGTCAAAGTCACCAACCCCTGGTCATTGTTCTCACACATTCAGGGGCACCTCTGCTCGGTTTTTTTGTAGGGAAAGCATTTGTGGGGAAAGCATTTGTGGCATCCAACACGAAGGAGAGAGACATTTGAGTTTCCCCGGTGACCTCCAAAAACGGTCAACAGAACACAACACGAGATTCTCGTGAGTCTTGGTAACATACTAGTGCTTCTAGCGCCGGCAGTGGATAGATAATTGGGTACAGACTGGATGGACATCCGACGACGGCGCCATTCCATTCCCGGTCGCTGGAGAATATCGGATCCATCGCATATCATATCATGAGGTCCCAAGAGTCTTGCTCAAGCAGGCAACAACGAGAGACAGCTAAGGAAATCCCGAATTGCCATCTCGTCTTTTTGCTTGGAGTCTTGGATTTCTCGAAAGGGAGGGGCGGGCGGACGGACAACGGCAAACACGGCGTGCGTCGTGTTGAGTAACCGCTTGGCGTTACCGACCAGCTTTCCGTTCTCCGTGGCAGCGGCGGTGGTAGCGATTGCAGTTGCCGAGTTGCGCGGTGGGCGTCGGCCAATTGTCCTATGAAAACGAAATGCCTCTCTCCCTGACTCAGATCTGGATGAACACAGCAGACGCCTCGAAACGCCCAGCTGTCGATGCTTGGCTTCACAGGCCGAGGTACCGTACTGTGTTGATGGAGGCATCGCATCATAGGATAGGTTTGGGCGTATGGTGTACAAGATCGACTTTGACTTACCGCATCATAGGCTCATATGTTGGAAACGGTGAAACGGGAGCTAAAACCGATCTCCACGTAGAGGTAGCATCTTGATCAGTTCAAGGGGGAAACGGATGCCCATCATTTGACGCTATTGACGGCAGTCCCGTTGCCACACATTGCCCCGAGTGTTGATTATCTCCCTTGTCTCCGATGGACCATTACGGTGTAGAGTAGGGAGCTGACTGGTCAGCGACAAACCAGCAACTTCGTGATGGTAGTCAACAGGGCATGTACACGTGAGGCGTCAAGCGAACACTTTTTGCTCTCTTTGCGCTCAGGCTGAATTAAGACTTAAGATCATGCACATATGCGCTTGCCGCAATCCAATGATGCATGCAACCACCACGCGGGCTGCTTGGTACCTACCTGTGAATGGATACCTATCTTAAGGGTCTTTTGGTCTTTTTGGGGGTCCAGTTCGGTCCAGTCACGAGTGCGAGAGCGAGTGCGCGCGCGGTTGCCCTGGAAATCATGTCCAAGTGGAAAGAAAGAGGCCCAGACGCCCTGGCGCGCCGATCGCATTCCCAGGCACACCAGAGAGCCGAGAATGGCCCAATGAGGCGCGGTGGTTGGCCTCGATTTCGTGGGAGAACTTTCCATTCCTTCGTCCAACAGCCAATCGGCGGTTTGGACATGAAGTTCCAATCCAGCGAATGAAGGGAACGGAACCGGTTCATTTGTGAAAAAGGAATGGAAGATGAAGCACTGTTGTCACTTGATGCGAAACCACACGACTCTGGATTCATGGGGTTCGCTGTTGTGCCTGAAACACCAAGCAAGAAGGGACGAGCGCATTCGGCTTGGAGTCTTGGGACAGCTTCAGAGGTTCGCTTCAGAGGCAACATGCCCGAGTAAGCTCCTCCCTTGTTGTGATCATGATCTGAGAATGTCGGGGTTGGGGATGAAAGCGAATGCGTCAATATTTGGCCACGAGCATCCACTTTCAAGCGAAAGATGGTATCCATCGTATACACAGTAACGTCGGTCGGGGCCGTAAAATCGCGGGGCGGGCGGTGGGTGGATTTCCATTCCACGTCCACGATGGTGTTTGTCGGAGAAGATCAGGATGCTGCATGCTTTGTGAACATCACGCCAGACGTGGACAATGAAATGCCCCTGGGACCCACCGCGTATTTCGCTCAGTGTCTTTTGATCGCCGCCGTTAACACACTAACTCTTCCTGTCCCATGCTTGGCTGCAAGCTGTTAACAAGTCATGTCTAGCAATCATCATCTCCGACATCATGGATGAACACTCCAGAAAACAAACACCTTATCTTGACGTCTTTTCGCATTTGATCTTCCATTCTTTCCATTTCGTTTCCATGACTTTCTGAACATCACTCCCGCCTCCTCCGTTTGCGACAACAAGGTGCTCGGACATGGCGCTGCCTGTTGACATGGCAGAAAACTGATGACTGTTTGACTGAAACCTACCGACACATCTTCCAGCCGTTAGCAAGCTGGCCAGCAGTAGCAGTGCCAGCCTCGTGAGCACTACGAAGCACGAAGGACACCATCAACTTTGCAACGTTCCATTCCAATCAGTCCACTCACTCACTGGCTGGACACGGATTGTTCCCTTTTACCGTTCACGATAGGCGATAGAAGAAAGCATGAGATCCGTCATGATCCCCAATCCCACCCTCCACATGCCTCCCTCCCACGATTCACAAAGCGACCCTTTCAACACCAAGTCCACTAGCTCGCCCACTCACAGAATGCTATTTTAAGCCCAACCGCACCATTAACCTCACGCACGTCAGCAACACCCAAACGGCATTAACCACCAGACGGGTCGGACATTTGACTCTTCTTTTTCTCGGGTCTCGGCGACAACGACAGAGTCAGATCCAGGTACGATTGATGAGAGATCGATCGTGTTGAACGAATTTTGACGGTCGCGTGGCTTTGGCTCTCACGAGTCTCGCGATACGGAACACGAAATCACGGCACTTTGGCGATGGAGTCACCTTGTGTTCTGGAACTGGAAGGGCTGGGCAGGGCGGGCACAGCCACACCGAGTCCGTAAAGTCCATAATGCGCGCTTTTCAGACCAAAAAAAGGGATTCTTTTTTGCTATTACGATCATGATCACGACTTTCTGTTGCCGTTCGTTTTGGCAATGCGATGCAGATCTGATGTTGGTAAACGAAGGAAAGAAAAGCTGCCGTCGTCCTTCCGAGGGGCAGATGTGATGGACGCAATGGTAGCGAGTGCTATTATTGACTACATCACGGAACTCATGCCGTATCAACACCGGGGCGACAAGCGGGTGCCAGTAGTTGGATCCGGCGAGGCGGTGACAGTAACTCTTCTCAACCCACAACGGGCCCAATGGACCCGATAATCCCGATGTGGATGTGGATCCCGGGGCCCTCCGAACACTTGGTCTTGGCACTTGCCCAAACCGTGAATTGCCATGGTTGTGATTCGTTCACTTCAAAAAGATACGGCGTGGGCAGAGTTCGGAGCTCCCGCTCACTTCTGCCACAATCACTCCCGTCAGTCCAGTGACGGACGGCTGCCGAGTGGCTTCCTGTCCGGTTTTATTAGTTGGAGCCGAGGGCACGAATTGTGACTGGCATGGGAGGAAGCTACACCTTCCGGTTGCAACTTGCTCGCTGTGCCGACGACACCTGCAGGTGGGAATGGACATTACCATGGGTCCCTTTCTCTGTTGTCCCATCCCAATGCCCGTTTCGACTCGTGCAGTCACGTTGGACTTGCCATGGCTCGTCGCTGCAGTCAGCAAGAGCCTAGAGGACTTTGGAGGAAGCACCGTGGACCAGAACCCAAATGCGTCCATGGCAGGCGACTGGGCCTTTCGACCTTCAGAGGCCGATATGTCCTTCACATTGCCAACATGTTCTTGCCACATACCTAATGCCATTCTTTTCTTTCCCTTTCTCTTCCTCGACGGCCTTGTGCTATCTGTGCTGTTTCTTAAAACAGCGGCAGCCTTTTCTGCCAACGCATTGTCCTTGTGTAGCTCTGCTAGGAGTACACTGGGAATACTCCAAAAACCCTCCGCTGTGAATGCGCAAACAGTCTACATTGTGCCGTTCCAGTCACTCAAATACTGGAGTGGCGCGTGGAAGCTCATAAATAGCCCTAGGCTCATGGGGTTCTCATATATCAATATGAGTTTCATCGATATGATCATCATGATGGTTATCTATCTCACCATGGAGACCGGACTCATCCGTCTGATGAACATCCCGGAACTCTTCAACAAAGTAGTGCACTTTGGTAATGGCTTGCAAGGACACCGCCTTTGGTCTTGAATGATCAATGACATCCCCCACTTCGAGGTAAATATCCTGCTCCTCTTTCGATAGCATCTGTTTTCTCCATCCCGAACTGACGTCTTCTCCTTGTGCAGAAATCATGCCCAGAATGATGGAAAGATCCATGGCGCCTTCATTGCTAGCTGACGTCCCACCGACGCCCAAGGGGATTATCCACCTCCACGACCAACAAAAAGAGGATGCGAAATGCGGGCCCTTCTAAACTACCTCATCAGGAACACTCCAGAAAACCTCACGGGAGGGTACACAATGGTTAACATCATCGCAGGCCCAGTCATCGGCCCCACCGCCTACCATGGAATCAACATTCCAGGGAGACAAATGAGGATGACGTACTCAGGAAGAAGAAAACGAAAAGGCAGTGGGGAGTACGACTACTCCAGGGATACAACCCCTTCGACGCCGAGTTTGGACGCGCCATTCGTGGCAACTCGGAGCAAGATTCTGAGGAGGAGGTTTACGCCTCATTCCTCGCCCTCGAGTTCCATGTCGCTCCCGCTGGTACTCCGCCTGCATTCATCCCGCCCCAGCCATGCCTCCACCATCCAGGTGAGTGAACCATACATCCCTTCTGGTCTTCTCCTTATTTCTGTCATTCATTAATATTCGATTTCAACGCAGCCGTCTGCAAATTGATCGCGATGCCCTAATGTGGGCTGTAGTCTCCTCCCCTCTAGACGGCAGGGAAGAGCCCGAGGAATCCGATTGTGCACTATCTTACCTACAGAGAGCCGAGCCTTGAATTGTTTGCTCCATGGGAAAGCTTCATGTTCTTTACGCCAGAAACCAGTACGAGAAGTACCATCCCGGCGAGCATCGCCGGCTCCTATGGATATGACAAGCGGAGGCACTTCGCACGATCCCATCAAGCTACCCCTTAGCATAAGCGAAAGGATGAGAAGGAGGACTTGCTCAAGGGTTACCTGGGCTGGATCAGCGAGACAGAGATGGTTGTCATTGAAGCTGGCAGGGATCCCACTTGCAGTTCAGGAGAGCGGACAGCAGAACGGGTATAGGAGGTGGTGATTGATGGGCAGACTGTTGACGTTGTGGCCGTTTATACTGCGGGACCTTGAGAGGTCTACTCGATCTCTTGAGAACAACAGGGTTACCAAGACCGCCTCCCATACTCACCACGCAGGATCTCGGTACCCAGGCATGCACGCCGAGTCCCCATGCCCGGAACAAGGAAGTGCAAGCCGACAAGATTAACAGCATCAGCGTCGTGCTCTGGGAGTGTTGTCACTGCTCCACGTTGACAGAGAATCCGCTTTGTAGCCCTTTGGTGCTCGGTGGTCTCAAAGGCTCACGGCGTAATGAGCTTGAGTTCTGGTGGCATCTGGCGGAGGCAGAACAGAGTCGATGGCGAGCGTGGTTGCTTGGGTTGTTCCTCTGAGAGCCACGACCTTGGACAGGGCTGCAGGCCGACGGAGATATCATAGATCGAATCTCTTTTCATCCGTCACGACTTACTCTGCCCCAGAATTTCGTTAGGGCTGGTCGGCTCCTCGATGAACCACGGCTTGAACTCCTAAGTATCTTGTTTCTCCCAAGCTACCATGGAGAATTATAACCCCTACTTCACAACCATGGAGAACAATGTTCCCGTCGACCCTGAGCGTTGACATGGTGGAGTGGTGGCTCGGAGGTTGTACTTCAACAGCGGAGAGAATAGAAGTATGCGTTATCCTTCATAGACAGATTCCAGTGCCAAAGCAAGGTACTTTTGAAAGATATTAAGCGATCTGGAGATTCTCACATTACCCGTCTACTCACCATCATGCTGCTCCGTTGTGATATTAGTATAGTCTTCTGTCACTATGTTGCTTTGTGCCATTGTGTGCCCATAGTCTATCTTTGTTAGTCAAGTGGCTTAAGAGGTAAGGTGATACGCCGTTTTATCTTTTACTTCTATATTCACCACGGAGGCGAATGTAAAAATATTTAACAGAGTTTAGAAGGAGAAAACATCAACACGCTCCAAAGAAATACAACTCTGCATTAAGACCCATAATTTTAGATGTCATATTTATACGGTCGTGATTGTTCACGAAGACCCCTCTTCTGCCAATACCTTAGTTACGGAAGGAGCTTTTGTGTTGTTGTTGTTGTTGTTGCACTGTGAATGCCCCAAACTCAGTATTGTTGTCGCAACATGAAGCGGGCAGTCATATCCATTTCAACGAATTTGCCCTCTCCTTCCTTTCTTTTTCCGCAGTTTCACTTTTTTTCTTTTCTTTTTTCCCTCTTTTTTTTCTATTTTCTACTTTTCACTTTTACTTTTCACTTTTTCTTTTTGTCCATTCTCTTTATCTCCTTTCCTTCTTCTTTTTCCCCTTTCTATATTATTTTCTCCCTTTCTTTTCAACATTTTCCCTCTCTTTTTCCCAATTTTTGCTTTTTTTTGTCTGGTGATATCTCTCTTGAATTCCTCAATGTGATGGGGTTGTTCCTGCCCATGCACCGAAGGTGTTGTCATTGGGTCATTTGCTTTGAAGTGCCGTGGTGATGACGGTGTTGCAGGGTACTTGGTGATGGGACAGGGAAATCTCATAATTTTGAAAAAGAGTTCGAATAGTTGGAAACGATTTATGAATGGAATGCGAATGGTTCGTGCATTGAAATGGGGAATCATCACGGCGAAAAATGGTCTTTGATGTTTAAGTGTCACGATGTGTGTGCCATGGAGTACCAAAATATCTACAGGTAGGTACTTAGAGTGCAGTTAGATCTCCTTAGAGCGTGTTGAGAGGTTCTCTCTTGGTTTAAAACGGAATCAATCAATATCTGAAAAGTTGTGCCTGTGCAGCAATCTAAGGTAAGTGCGAAGAAGTAGGGCTAAGGTGGTGGTCAAACGGTGGGCGGAGAGGAGACGCGGACTTCCTTTTACTCTTCCATCAGCTTCGAGGAGCTTTCCTTGCCTCGGGAAACGTAGCCTCCCAGGCACTCATGAGGTCCAAGAGTTTGCTTTCACCATCAGCGCCCGCAATAGCATTGACACCCCATGCCCTTCCATTGAAGTCAGCATATCCAACGGGCAAGGCTGCAACGGAGTATCCTGCTGCCGCCGCAACACTTGCCATGCGGCCGTCAGACTGTGCGAGAATCACGTCCACCTCGTATTTTGCAAGCACTTCATCAATCAATGCCTGTGCTGTTTTCTTGACCTTGGCGACTTTGGTGTCTATCTCGGGATCGGCCTTCTCTTCTAGGGCCGTCTCGAGGAATGCCTGGGATGGGTGGTCTGATAGTATTCAGAAGCGCCGTTGTTAGCAAGAAAAGTTTCTTGAGACAATCGAAAAGCTGCGTCCTGGTATCAGAAGGGAAGACCTAGACTCACCTGCGGGAAGGCATCGATCTGCATGATCCTTGTTGAACTGCACAAGCTCAGCCAAGGAACGGATCTGGCTCGTCTCATAGAGTGATACGAAAGCATCAAACTCGTCGCGGAAACCGTACCCTGAGGTTGGAAAAGTTTAGTGACTTGGAAACTCGGAGAGACAATAAGACGAATGGTAAAACTGACCCCACAAATCGTCTGGGTTCACGTTGTGCTTCTGTTCAATGATTTCCGTCAGCTGCCCGAATGGGGGCAACGGCACATCACGAACAACCTTCCCACCGAGTGACGAGATTTTGGCCGCGACAGCCTCGATATCAGCTTTCTGTGTTTTGAGATCGTTAGCAAGTGCCATCGGCAATGAACTGTTTATTGTTGGACAAGGGGCAGGAACAATGATTACCGTTTGGGATGTAAAAGACTCGACAGGCTCTACGACAAACGTGGCAGGAGCCCAAATGTCATAGTCGACAAATCCAACTCTCAACCCATCCCAGGATATCTTGGATTCATGGCTCAAGTTTGTACCAGTGAGAAGTGTCAACATGTCGGCCACGTCTTTGGCCGTTCTGGCTATCGGGCCGATGGCATCGTAGGTTGGAAGTGCAAGGACGCCCTTCACAGAGACGGTTCCCGGGGTGGGCTTCAAGGCGTAAAGTCCTGCCCTCGAAGTAGGTTGGACAAGCGATCCGTCGGTCTCAGCGCCAAGTGCGATAGGTGCGAACCCGGCGGCCACCGCAGCTGCGCTTCCGGAGGATGAACCTGCAGGTGTCTATGATATGTGTGGTTGGTCAGCGCATAACAGCCACATGCATCACGCCTTATGCAGACAGGAACTCACGCTGTGTCCCAAAAATGTGGCATTTGGCAGAACTCCGCCCTCGACATAAGGCGAAGAACACTGTCCTCCGGCAGAAGACCACCCAGCGGTGTTTGGAGGACTTGCTTTGAACAGGTTCAGTTCCTGCATCACAGTTCAGTTAGAGCAACGTCTACAGCTTTGAGCCAGGCTCCTGGAAAAGGACCAGAATCTTCCGGGTGATGAGAGACGCATACCGACAAGTTGGCCTTCCCTAGGATAATCATTCCCGCTTTCAACAACTGCGTACCAATTGCGTTAGCTCTTCCTCCACCTTTCAAGTGTTCATTTCCAAGGACCGTTGGTTTCCAAGGACCAGACTGAGGTCCAGCTTACCAGCTCAACGACATCGGCGTTTTTTCGTCCTTTCGCACCAATCAAGCCAAGCGTGCCGCAGGTAGTGTCCATGCCCAGGGAGGCTTCGGTGAGCATTGTATCCTGACACATCATACGTCACATGTCAGCACGATGATGATGCAAAACGGAGGTCCTGGCAAGGAACGAACGTACCTTCACAATGATGGGGATGCCATGGAAGGGACCTCTGGTGCCTTTGGTCTTCCTTTCCTCGTCCAAGTGACGAGCTTGGGACAATACAGTCTCTTCAGGTGCGACGGATATCAGGGCCTTCAATCCAGCCCCATCCGCATTGTGCTTGTTGATCTGTTTCAGGTAGGCGGCGACAAGATCGACACTTTGCAGCTCGCCAGACTGGAGCTTGGAGCGCAAAAGCGCAACGTCGGCATTCAACACGTCGACCGTTCCCGCCATGATGGATGATTTCTGGGCCGGAAAGCGTGACAAGTATTGTCGCAGACTGAGTGGTGATAAACGCGAAGCTGAGAAATAAATGGCAACAAGACCTACTACAACGAAGGATTTGCGTGAGCAGAGACGAAGCATTGCTCTTCGAAGCTTGTGTGTCAAACAAACGCACGGGAGACGGGGAGAAAATGAGGCAGGGCAAAGTTGCTGTTTAATGATATCCCCCTCCATCAGCATTATCAGGCAGGATCAGGCTACAGCCAGGCACTGTAACACCATAGCCGGGCAACTGTACGATGCCGTCCATAATGCCTGACGGATGTAACGCATGGGGAAACAATGTAGAAGTACCTAGCGGACGTACCCCGCAACAGGTAAACCAAGGGAAGTGATGGAACGGTTAATAGATGTGGAAATGCATAATGGTTGATTGGATTGAGAAGAGTGTGATGTAGAGGGGAAAAAATCCCAGAAATGAAGTACTTGTACAGGCCCAGAAACCGCGTCTTGAACCCTGCTGGTCGTCGCCAACCGCAACAGGATAACAGGAAGTGGGGCTTCTCCGGCTGATGACTTGGCATTTGTGCGGGATTCCGTGCTAGGTTAGGTACGTACTTCCATCAACACGTTCTGTTGGCACTCACTCTTGGGTAGGTATCGTCGAGGTACCTCAAGTGCAAGTTGAACCCACCACGGCAAACGGGACGTACCTGCCAGTCTGTGCTTCGCTGGGTATTGTATACCACACCCTCCAATCGATCACCGTACCCGAGTTTTAGATGCTGCAGAGAAAGATGACCTCGCTCCGGGCCCGGTGCCACGGAGCCCTACTACTGGTAGTCCGCAAACGTAGGTACTTGTCCGGAACTTGGCTGGGAAATCCCTTGGGATCTCGGTCTTGTCTTTTGATGGTTGATAGTTACACACCCTCCATTGTTGGTAGTTAATGGTGTTTTGTTTTCGTTCCTCATCGTCATAGTGGCTATATCCCCGCTCGGTGTATGGAGGAGCGAACATCAAGATATATAAGCTGTTAGCCAAGGCCAGCAATGAATTACGTGTTTGAACCGTTAACAAATCGAGCAAGTAAAGCTCATGATACACCTTCCTCTGTTCAAGCCCAGATCATCCTCCTCAGGAAACGCAAGATGCCGACTATCACGACGACAATCGAGTTCATAAAGGATGACCCAAAGTTCATCGTGGGTTCCAAAGGCTGCGAGAAGCCTTACTACATCATACCAGTTGAAGGGGGAGCCGTGAATCCACTGACTGATAAGGTGACCAACATGGCCTACGAAAGACATGTTGTTGGCGTGCGCGATATCAGGGAAGCCCAGCCGGCGCCAACCCTGGAACGTAACGGCTTCATTCTTTCGGCGCACAAGAGCATGGCTATAGCTTCTCATGATAGCGAGAGCATTGATCGCTATAAGCAAGAGACCCAGGAGCTTCTTAGGAAAGTGTTTCCGGACGCTGAAGAAGTAGTCACCTGGGATTTTAGAGTAAGCATATCCTCAACAACAACAGCACTTGTTCTGCAAGCCATCCGACCCAAGTTCGTATTTGCTGATTTGTCTTTTGAGTGAAGCGGCGCCTCAACAAGAAGACAACCCCTAGTCAAGTAAGATTGGACACCTTCAGGTTTGAAGATGAACTTCACATTGAGGGACCTGCCAAAGGCGCACATGGTGAGTACTTGGCTTCTCCGCTGTGAACAAGGCACAGTCTAGACCAGTATGCTGATCCTTAGCAGTCGGTACGTTAAATCCCAATGCACTCTGCTGTCTCCAGGCTCAAGCAACCAGAGACACCTGGGTCTAAAACGCGCTTTTTGCAGACGCGACCCTTGACAGCGGTCCAGCCATTGTCCAAAGACACTTGACTCCCGAGATGAGATTAAAGTACCTGAAAGAAGGGGCCGAGGAGTACAGATTTCGCATTGTCAAGTACGTAAACACCGAATCTGTCCGAAAGTAGCGCTTTTTTTGCAGGTTTTGCATTATCTGACCATGACGGGAAACCAGCACATGGCGACCTTTGAACCAACCTGCTCTGCAAGACAATCCGTTGGCGTTCTGTGACTACACCTCGGTGTCGCACGGAGATCTTCTCCCCTGCGACCGAGTGTATCCTCATTTCGTCGGGGAGATATTTATGCTGCGGCACAGCCCGGCGCAAGAATGGTACTGGGTATCTCATCAAACCCCGGACGAGGTCACTGTCATGATCATGTATGATACAAAGCCTGGAGATGGAGGCGCTCGCCGTAAGTTTCTCCAACTGCCCAAGGCCTTGGTTTGGTCGTTAGTCTCCGATACAGACAGAATGCGAGTGCTAATTTGTCTTAGTCTGTCCTCATGTTTCGGTGCAGAATCCATTGGCAGATCCCGAAAGCTCTCCTCGAGAGTCGATTGAGACACGGTCTATTGTTGTTTCAAGGGTAAAAGCTTGATGATGTGGCCTGCGGCGGATTGGCTCTAGGGGCGTCCGTATATCATGGCCAGAGTCCAGACCGAGACTGTAGCGTTTCCATGCATACATACCAAGTGTAAAGTAGGTACCCAAGTTGGTTTTGTTGTCTTCCGTCCCCACAGCTACGGGCGCGGGCGCATCCACCGCGTTTAAGACGTGAGAGGCGAGGTGAAGAAGTGAATCGATGGGAGCAAAATGGATCGATTTGATTGCTGTGGTGACTTGTGGAACGCGGACGGAGTACATGTAGAGGTAAAATTGGGTTTGTTCGAATGCACGACCCATGCACGCCATGTGATAATGTATATGCCCATAATGTGACAGCCTGCTGGCTCTTTCCCCGCTTCTGGGGACACACTTCCATGTGTGTGTCCGGCCTCGATTGTCGCTTTTAGTACTGGATAGGTCAGCTATCTGTAAATACCGGAAAGAACAAACACCGCGGTGGAGGATATTATCGAGTGGAGAAAAGGTTAAAGCTTGATTTCCATATGCCTGATGCCACCCAAGTACTGTAGATCCCGAAGCGGACTCGGACATTATTGGGAAAAGAAGAAAGAGGAAGAAGTGCTGCAAGTGCAAAGTCGAAGCGAGGGCACGAGTAGACACAGCCAATGGTATTACATGGAGAAACACAGCCAGTCAGAACTCCAGAAGGCATGTCAGGACCTTGGGCTGCCGCTGAGCCACAGCGCTTGACTCTTCTCGCTTCTTTTTCGTCTCATGCCCTACGGGAGGCGGAAGAAAAATAACAACAACAAGCGCTTGACTCGCTTTCCCCCTAATGTACGTTGGCACTCTCAGTACACGCATGTCTCGCCGTTGTATATATATGTAAGTAGCAGATACAATAGACAAGTTACGTGATGTTGCCTGTTTCTACGAATGCAATAGAGGTGCTCGCTTAGGAAGCAGCCAATCATGGCGAACTTTTATTTCATTTCAGCCAAGAAACGGCTTGCACGTCTTCCTCACCTGCTCAATATTATCAACCTCCTCACAACATCGTCTAACCTCCAATGATTCCCTTTCCCGGGATCACACTCTGAGGCTCTAAGGCTCTGCGTCCACGGATCTTTCCCTGATAGGTTCGTTTCTATCTTCTTTCTTTTTGAACTATCCTCCTGAGACACGCATGTTGGCTCACTTTTTCCATGGTTTCTTGCATCTGTACAACTGCTTCTTGTAAATATCCGTCAATTTTAGCAAATTCAGTATCACCTTCTCAATCTTTCATCCCACACTCCCCCAACCACCTCAGGATTGAGGCCTTGGGGCCTGCTATACAATGCTTGAAATGATAGGATGGGCGAGAAGATGTTCGAAGCGAGATGCATGCAACTACCCTAGGCTATCAGGATAAAGCCACCACGTGTGCGGTGCCAAAAATGGCCTCAGCCCTCACTGTGCTGGCGAGGGTGGCTACGAGAGGCCGTATGGGTAGCGAAGTGGGAAATGCGGCGACCGAAAACGGCAATTTCGTCAAATCCTCTCGTCTGCTCAGTTTCGACTTTCACCAAGTGAGAGTTGGGATGAGTGAGTGAGGCAAGGGTTTCCATTTCTCCCGAACCCAGCAGAGTTGTCAAGGACTTGCTAAGTGGAGGTACGTACCTTCAAGGCGTCTAGGTTGCCATGCTGATAGAGCCTCAAGTATCGTCAATTTCCGGGGTCTTCCATTCCCCCCAGCAGGGGCAAGATGTTGGAATGCCCAGATGCGCCTCTCACAGTCTCACCCCCAGTCTACACCAGTAGGGCATTTACAACCGAAACGAACGGAGGTAGGCGGCGATGGTGGCGGTTGGAGAAGGCAGTGCTTGGTCTGATGTGCGATGCTTGGACCTACGAGCTTCGTTCGGTGTCTCCTCCGGTGATGTCTTCGAGGTACATTTACTGACAATGACACTCGGCCAAAGTCTGCGGCTAACGTCAATATTTGCGCTGATTGTTTATATTCAAGTCTCCAGGTCGTCTCCGGTGTTGCACATATATTACTCGTGAGCTTTTGCATACTCAATTTACACCTTCATTGTGGCCATCAGCCTGTGAAATCATCCACGCCTAACCAACAGTCACTGTTACTACTAGCAGCCCGGACTTGGATCAACCAAACTCCACCGACTTTGGCAGGTTATTATTGCCTATCATTTGCTGATTAAAATGCCACGTATGGCTTTGTTGCCTTCATTCAATAGGTGCGTCCGTGAGCCCTTATCCGTTTCTCTCGTACTTTTGGTGCCCAACTTGATGTTTGCCAACCGCAAACTTACCTTGTATGTCTTCCCTAGTCCGCCGTACCAAGCTCCCGCTTCGTTCCGCCTCCGACCCGTAAAATTCCTTGGTTCGGCGTCCACAACCGGTAATCACTCCCCGGGTCAAATCGGTGAGTACCCAAGAGCTCCGTCATTCTTCTAAGAGTAGGTCTCTGGTACGGAATATATCAATACATCACACAACATTTCCCCCGTGTACTTCTTGACGACAGACCTTTACCAAACCATCAAATACTAATTCCATGGTAAATTTTAAGATTCGGGGAAGCTTCAGCAGCTCCTGCACCGTGATGCCGTCAATTATGACACGTATGTGAAGTGGTACGCGTCATTTCTGGACCAGAAGATTGGCAGCTTGCCACACCGTTTTATACCTTTGACTCTTCCTAGGGGCAGCCTCTCCGTTGTCGAACATGTGTTCAACTGTCTGAGTAGCATTGTGCCCCTTATCAAAGATGAACCGTCTGTCTGTCTAGGCCAAATGCTGGAGAAGTTGCGTGACGAGCACCTGGTTGATGATATTGCAGATGACCACGGCATTCAGTTTGTATTTATCTGCTTTGGGCTTTTGACGTTTCTCTACAGCCCGAAGCTTGACCCTGCGCAAGGCAAGCTCGAGATAGAGGATGAAGAGCGCATCCCACCCAGGCACACCCTCGTCATACTTGAAGTTGAAGAGTACCGCAATCTTCCCATGACTAACATCGTGCGGGACTTCTCGTGTTTCGGACGACGGGGTTTGGCTCCCATGTCGTCCGTCCGAGAAGATGACCGCCCGGGAACATACTCTGGCTCATTGCCAATGGCTGGCCGGACTTCCTTGTTCAGCTTGAACGTCAACTACTATACACTGTCGAAGCTGTCCAAGATTGAGATCGAATGGACCGACATCGCTTCGAAACATCTTGAATTGGATGCGCGGTACATGGTCCTTTACCTCTTTCGACACCCATCATTCTGTGTCCTGATGTGCCCATTCAACTCGAATACCCCGCCGGGCTGTTACATTGATCTGTGAGTGTTGCGTCTTTACTTTTCTTCCCTTACTTGCCTGGCAATCCTGCGTAGGTACTAACGTTTCTTCCAAAAAGATTCTTCAATAACTGCCTACGGGGCAGAGATGATGAGCCAAACATCACCGCAAGCGACTTTTACCGTGAGATACTTGGCTCCTACCGCGTCCTCTTTAGCCAGGACAAGAACTCGTGGAAGGCGTATCAGTCCTCGCGACGGAAGGAATGGAGCCGAGGATCTGGTCTTCAGATCTGCCCGGACGATCTGCTGGATGGGCTTTGTGGGAAAAACTGGAGAGACCAACCGATCTACGACCTCGTCGGCCTGGAACCTGCCAAGAGCACTTATTATCATATCGAGGATGAGTTCCCCCTCCTGGGCAGGCGACTGCTGGAGCTGCAGGAGTTTGTAATGTCTGAGAGTCCCGTGGGATGGAAGGGTCTATGGTGGGACCGGCGTGATACGGGGCGGTACTGGACGTTTTGGGGCTTTGTTTGGATCAGTTTCATTACGCTGGTTCTTGGGTTGCTGCAGATAGCGTTGGCAATTCTTCAGGTCTGGTCGGGATTTAAATAATAGAGGTCGGCACATGACCTGGATCGCAACCAAGCGAGTCTCTTGGAGGTGTACGCCGGACCTTGGGAAGGAACACAACCCTGACGGAGAGGGAATGATGGGGGTCTGTTGATCTGCCTAGGAGGCTTCTTATAGCTGCGAAGAAAGCATGGCGGTTTGTCCTCAATACAGCACATAATTTCCAGTGATATACTGAAAAGGGTTACATTAGCCCTCTCTTACGGTTGCATGACCCTTTCCCTCGTCCCATGTTTGGGCAGTTTGTAGGAGGGCTGAGACCTGTAAACTTGGGTACGTCCATGGAACCTCTACCTCCCGAGACGCTCCATATCTGTTCAAGAGTCACGGTACCACACCCGAGACACAGAAATTTGGGTACAGCCAAGAGCAATGGTACAATGATTCCTACCTACTAACTTCGTCTTCCGTTGGAGTTACCTCTCCATCCTAGATACAGAGAGAAAGAAAAGGCAGGAATTGCGAGAAATAATAACTGCGAAAAAACGCATGTCTCACTGGAGTTACCTAGTTGGTGCAAATGCATATATAAGATATTTAACGAGGAGATACTAATTGACAGCCAAAGAAAAAAACCAGGTTCCAGACGATACTTAAACGTCCACCGCAAAGCCTTCACCCACAATGTCCTTGCTACCGGTACTTCACCACCACCAGTGAACAAATGACGAGAAGGACGAGAATAACGAGATCCTTCAAAAACATCGAGTGAGCGGGCGGATAAGGCTGGGTCATGAGCAGCAATCAAGTCTACGACGGGAGTTAGATAAGGCATGTCATAAAACTGCTGTAAAGTATAGGTACACCGTCACATGGCAACGGGGTAATTTGTCCACAGCACGCTGCCAGCCACTTTTGGAACATACCTTGTCGACCAGACTCAGACGGCTGAATGGGCTCTAATGGCCACCGAGACCGCCGGTTCCGTCATCATATGCCCCCGGGGAGTAAAGGAGCTTGATTTCCTTGGTGTCGATGCTGTCCTCAGCATACGGGTCGTAGGCGTCAGGCTTCTCAACGTCACGGAGGAAAGTAACTCCCGCGCGCTTCCATGGCTGGGGGACGTTGCTGTAGTCAAGGAATCCCCTCCGGTCGGTCGAGGGAAATGCCACGTTGGGCGTGGTTGAAATCTCCTGGGTAGTATGTCCACAGTCAGACATGTTTGCGATTTGTACCTCTGTGGAGGTGCTGACAGGTGTGTTTGTTGTAGAGTGTTTGTAGTGGTGTTTTTGGGATAGAATGGGGATGCTGGTGGATGCTTGGGGTAAGGTGAGAGAATGGTGGAAAAGGGAAAAAAGCGCACGTCCGAGGCGATCCCTTTATATTCTGCTCGAGAGGATGACAAAAGGTAAAATGCCTACAACCGAGGAATCTGAGCAAGATGGTGGACTCGGACAAACAGATTTCGAAGAATCCTGTCTTGAGGCTCTTACCCCGCTCACCAACAATCTCCAGCCTCTACCTATCTACCGGGTATCGGAGTACGCGAGCAGAGCTTTGTGAGTAAGGCCAGCATGGAGCCGAACGTGGAAATGGTGATAGAGATAGATTTTCGTTAGACCCTGCTGAACTTCTGCATGAGCCCGTCGAGGCGTTTGGATCGCAAACTGACGAGTAAAATCGAGTATCGCGGACATGCTCCGCGTCGTTCGTGGCCCATACCGCAGACCGCTTACTTCTCCAGGGGCAGTCAGTCTCAACTTACATGCGACTCCAGCTTGGTGCAGCCATTGGACCATTTGAAAGCAATGGGGTGCATTTGGGGAAGGCGAGTTCCGAATAGATGAGACAATATTGAAGCTCCGTGTCACACTCAGCCTTTCCATCCCAATGTGATATCGTCGCGTCCTCCTTGCGATGTCTGGTATGGTGTTGAGAGCGTCGTGTGCCGCGTGGCCGCCTAACAGCCGGCCTGGATACATGAGCAAAGATGTGATTAAGGCGGTCTATCACAATGCGGGCATCAGTTGACGATAGTTTCGGTTCAGTCATACATATCGTGGATTTCGGTGAGCGAACCACAGTGTTGACAACCCAAGTCGCTAGGCAACCACGATATCGTTCTACGTACAAATACTATGCCGACTACTGTCTCGATATGAGACATCATGTGACGTCAATTGGTGTGAGTATTGTCATTTTCGTCGGGTGAACGGCGTAGATGTTTGGGTGTAGATGTCCACCAGGCTTGGTAGCTGGATTATACCTGCTACCTACACAGGAGGGGTGCGGCCAACCCAGGTGCATACTGCAGGTAAGGTATCCAACCGTGGCAGGCGACAACACATCTTGTCAAATGTTGTAGGCAGCGGTCCGAGAGGCTTGTAGCACTTTTGCGAACCGCCACGCATGTACAACTTTACTCGCATGGCCCCATATCCTACCAGTACCTCTACAGTAAGGGTTCAAAAGTCTTCAGCCACTTGCAAAACCCCCCGCAAAAAGTATGTCTTCTTTGGAGATTCACTCCGCTCAAATGCATAACTGCCCTTTCAATGCATCTATGTAAAACGTTGCGCTTGATAGGAAAATGCCACTTTCATCTAAAAAGACTATTTTCATAAAAGGGATCTCAACTTTGAAAGTGCACCTATGTTGTAAAGTTAATACCTCAAGATCAAAAAAGTTATAGTGAATTTATAGTGAGCTTCAGCGATTGAAAAAATCTCTCTCTTCTAAAATACAACTTCCAACCTTGTTTTCTGTATCAAAATAATAATACAAAGACTAAAGCTATCATCAGTGGATAATTTCTTTAATTATAAATGGGAGGCAGTTGAGTGCACAAAATTTGAGTAATAGAAAGTGTCACAGCGTAACTAGAGGGCACGTTGTGTACGATTCGATTATCTTAAACAAAGAATAAGAAGCTGAAGAGGAAAGGAATCCCAAAAGGGAAGGCTCGATGCCAGAGCTGAGTTTTATACCCAGACCACAGGTGTCACAACGCTGGCGGACCACTACATCACTAGGCTATGTTCTAAAAGAATACAAGTAACCGAAGCTGGCAATTCGGTCGCTCAAGTGGTGTTACGAGCTGATAATGACGGGCACGGGCCAACCAAGCCACCGGTACACAACAGCCACGCGTAAGCTAGGCAGTGTAACCAGAGGCAGGAAAAGAGCTCTGGGCAGGCAAGGGCTCTTGGGAGTAGAGCCAGGCTCACCAGTCGAGCCAGACTCACGAATCGAGCCAGCTTGTAAACCACACGCTATGGGGTTCACGTCTACGTGGACATCTGGAAACAGATATCTCGCAGAGGGCGAGCAGGTATAAAGGGACTACGGGAGAACCCAGATTGTCAGATAGTTCGACAGTAGTCAATAGATCATTATCACCGAGACTAGTATTACGAGCATACTTGTTGTGAACCCTTTGGCTTCACCGAACGACTCTGATAGTTACTACCTTCAGCTATCTCATTTAGGCAGATCAGACTGCCGTTCGTCACATAGTATTATTAAAAGTTCCCTTATATTTCCAAGTACTCCTTTCAGCAACTCTAACAATTTTGATGATATCGCGTGGAAATTCGCCATTAGCGGTTATTATTGTAATTAACGCCTTCTGGCGAATATTAGAGTAGTAGACTATATTTACGAATTAATGAATCTGAAAATATTAACTTTTTGCACTAATTTCAACTAGATTTCAATATTAACCAATGTGCTTATAGTGTGCAAAGCGATGTAAAATAGCCAGATCGCTAAAATGTGTGTATGTGTGTGGGTGGTGGCGCCCCCTCTGGCCAAGACTGACTAGGCGCTTGAGCATGGGAACAATGGGACGAGGGCGAGTGGGAGTTGCCGCACGCCTTGGCGAGTCCAGTCCGGCAAGAGGTCCCGGGAAGTGCCCCCATTCGGCAAGCCCCATCCCCTAGATCTTCTGCCATGGAAGGCACGACTGAGTAGCTCGTCGCTTGACGTGGATATCGTTACTTCGTACCAAGCGTTGATCTTTGTTGGAACCTGCTGCGGCCAGAGTGTCCCCTGCTGGCCATTGCACAGCTGGCTTTGAGTTGGGAGGCTGTGCCACTCCGATTACGCACATAATCAGTGCAGATGAAGTATTGTATTGAAAAGAAAATCATTAATCATGATACCTACATACCTGAAGAGCCCTTCTGGTTCGTCCATGTGTCTTTGGCGTTTCCTGTCTTCATCCGCCCAAGCTCAAACTGGCAACCACCTGTTTTCGTTTCACCTTTGTCCTACCCGAGCCATACCCCGCTTTCAAGTCGTGGCATGGCTTGATAGGGAGGTGCCCGGCCATTGCTCGTCCATGTCTGCTTCCTTGCGAGCCTGCCTTTTCCTTGCCTGCAACCACCATTGTGATCTACCTCTGGTACAGGCAGACGAGTGAATCGTAGGCCTTGAATCCAAGACACGCCTCTATCACATCCGTTTCTTTGACACTCGATAGGTCGTCCCTGATGCCCTTTGCTTTTTCTGCAAGGCTCTTGGCCTCTTTCTGCAATTCAGCAGCAGTTGAAAGCCCCTGGTCCATAGCCTGTTTAGCCTTGCCATGCAGACATTCCGACATCAGGTACAAGATTCGGGCCTGATCTCCACGTAGTTTACTGGCCTCAACAATTGGGAGACCGGCTCGGCAATGTTCCCTATTTGCCCATTGATGATTAGCAAGCCACTGTCATATTGGGGCGACAGGCGAGCTGGCTTTGAGTTAAGAGATGGGGTTTCAGGACAAACCCGGCGGAAAAGACTTACAAGGCATGGTCAAATCGTCTGTGATGGAACTGGATGAATCCAAGCTTGTACTGGAAGGCTGCAGTAAGAGCGTGTGTTGGTGCGTGTTCCATCGCCATCGTATATCCTTCTTCAAAGTTTTCCATGGCTTGGGCAAAGACTGAATTCGCTAATGCCATATTACCATAGCACAACATGAGACTGTTGAAAATCACACAAGGTTAGCAGAAATCGGCGTCTATGAATTAACATGGCGAAGTAGTTGGGAATTTCAGGTGTATGAGTGACTTACTACGCCAGAAGAATCGAGGTTTTTTTCTCAGGCCCGCCAAAGCATTTGTAACTGTCGTCGAACTTGAACTTGGCCTCCTTCAGCTTGCCCTGCAGGAATAGCGCCCGTCCGAAAACCATGTTGGCAAGCCCCTTCATTATGGTCTCCTGGGGAACGCCCGATCGTTCAATGATTTGCCGATAAATCTCAAATTCGTCCTCTGCTTCCTTATGCTTTCCCAGCGCGCTGTATACCTGGCCGAGGTTAAAGTGGCTGCCCGATAAAGTCGGGTCATTTTCGGGGAGTAGCTTAGACCTGATTTCCAAACACTTCTTGTGCATCTCCTCGCTCTTTGACAGCTCGTTCCAGTCAAAGTGGACAACACCGGCTGTGTTGCAAAGATGGGCATAAATAACGGAATTTTGGGGGTCTGGACACATTTCCCATGCTTGCTCGACCATGTTGTAGCATGATCTGTGTTCTCCTGTCTCATAAAGGTACCTAGAGGAAGATAGGAACTCCGTCAGTAATAGTCTGCATGCAGCGGGTTATGTATCTATGAAGAGTAGCCCACTCACCATGCCGCGTTCTTCGTTAGCTCTTGTAACTCTGGCGATGGGTTGAGCCTTGACTTCGCGATTTCGAACGCGCTCGTGAATAGCGCAGCTAGAGTTTGCGCGTGTTCAATGTACTTTCTACATTGTGGCCATCGATCACCTAATGGTTCGATGTCCTTCTGTTTGGGAAACACAAAGTTGACCAGCTTTGCTGCACCGTCAAACACTGGCTGACGCTCCTTGATGGGAATGTTGGAGTAGATTGAGCTTTGCAGTAAGCGATGAATTGAGATCGTATTCCCAGTTCGACGGATGAGTGCTAAACCCTTCAGCTGGTCAGCAGCCTCGTCCAGGCTAAAGGTAGGGTAGTCACGCATTAGCCAACTAACGTTCTTGGTTTTCTTTCGGGGCTTCCAGAATACAGGGGCACACTTACATCTCTTCGCCAAAGTCTTCCGCTCCGTTTGACGGGAACAAAGGATGATCAAAATGCTCAAATCCTTCTTCAAGTTGTTTAATATGTTCGCGAAGTTCATCTGACCAGAACAGCTCAAGCGGGATATGATCTGGGGAGAGCATTGAAACGATCTCCAGGAGGTGATGGGCTTTGGTCCCTTTAATACTGTCAATCGTCATCTGCCAAATATCCTCTATAGAGCGGTCACTGTCAACCCTGTTGATGCCAACCTTCTTCTTATGAATCGCGGCTCTCGTTCGCGAATATTTCTTCCGGAACCCAGCGATCGTGAACGCATTACTCTCGATATATGCCGCAATAATCTCGATGGCTAGGACGAGCCCACCTAGTTCTCTGATAATGAACTCCGCGTCTTCTTTCTCATCTGGCGTCAATGGTGGCACAGGTGAATGCTTCTGATGATATTCCTTTCTGAAGGCGGTGAAGATATCGAGGCTATCTTCAGGATTGAAGGTGTGAAGTTCTCGCGAATTCTGCATTCCAGATGCTTTGGATGCCACATGGCTATATCGAGTCGTCATAAGAACTGACCCAGACGTCGGAGTGGGAGGCAGGTAATCTTTGGAGATGCTGAAATCTTCCACATTATCATATATCAGCAGCCACGATTTTTCTGTTTTATCGTACCTAGGGTTAGCGGCATTTCATTCAAGGGTATAAGGAGGATAACTTGCTTGTTTTTCGAAGCCAGTTCTTGACCACAATTTGGGCATCTTGGTCCGCACTCGCGCCTTCGGAGCCGAGCTCCAATGCTTGGGCAATTTCCGTGAAACTCTTTGCGCATGAGGTGTCTTTCTCAGCTCGTACCCATAGGATGACGTCGAACAGTTTTTTGGCGGCGCATCTGTGCCCGAACTCCAGGGCCGTTGCGGTTTTGCCCACACCTGCCAAACCATAGATCGAAAATGCACGTCCAAGGCGCTGATCTTCAGGATTGATCAAGTGCGATTCGATTGCTTCGAGATCCTCAACTCGTCCATGGAACAAGCTGCGTCGATCCGGGAGGATAATGCAGGACTGCACCCGGTCAACACTTTGTGTTTGGGCACCCGGGGCAGACATCGACAAGCCACTACTACTGATCTGCTTCAATTGCTTGTCCCATAAGTCGTTCACTCGTTCAACAGCTTTTCTGACGTCCTGCATTGCTTCTTCGGCCTTGGGTTTGATTTTGGGCCAGGGATCTGAGAAAATTGTAAATAGGTAGCTTAGACGCCGCACCGGCTGGCCGAAGCAAAGGCGCCCACCTTGGAGAAACGGCCTCATATATTTGTGCTTACCTTCACCCCTCCAATTGTCAAGCTCCACAACGCCTTGCACCCAAAAGTTAATGAACGACTCGAACATGTCAACGATGGCTGCCGCAATCTGTTGATTGCTCCCCTCAGTATTCGAAAATTTGACCAAGTTTTGGGATATTTCATCGAACTTCTCCATTTCTCTCCTCAAAGACTCTACCTCCTTGAGCAGATTATGTCTCAAATTCTTGTCTTCCTTTGGGCTTTTGCCTGAGAAACTCTGCACAAAATGCCAGATCACATGGATTAGTATGGCTACCTCTATGTTTGAAGAATGGGTCAGGGAGCAGTTACTAAGAGGCTGTTCACACCGAGATACAAAAGAGCCCACACAAGGGTCACATGCTTGGAAGTAACTTCCTTGATAGCTGTAGCAGTAAGCAGCCATGGGGAGAGTTGATTCACCGTGTTCATAACAGGGCGAAGTCTGTGAAGGCTGTGTGTAGTCGTTTCGCTAGAGGAATCTTGGTGGTCGCGTAGACGCTTTTCGAGGTCGACCAAGAGGTCCTCATAGCTCTTGAACTCGGCAATGGCCTTATTATGAGGATTCTTTTCGTAGTTGGAGTGATCAAGGCGACTCTCCCATCTACTCACTGCATCTTTCCATCGAGCCTGCATCGACAAGAGGTGGTCGTGTGGCAGAGAAGGTAGTTTGCGCTGGTCTCCATCTTGGGGCTTTAAACGGACGCTTACCCCGGACTGAGCCGGAGGATTCGATCGAGTCGTGGACATGTCCAAAGTGTCGTCGTTTCAGTCTCTCAGGATGAAATGTATGGTAAGTTAGGCGGAGGCAGAGAGAGAGAGAGAGAGAGAAAGAGAGAGTAACCGGCGGGAAATCGCTAGGGGCCGACCAAGACCTCCAAGCTTTGGTCTGGGACAAACAGGAATTTGTACAGGTAGTAGAATGGGAAAGCTGATGGACCACTTACACGTACAATGTCCCACATTGGTCAACCTCCCAATTTGGGCCACGTCTCGGCAGACTTTATTGGCCTTGGTCCTTGCAAAGACTCCAACTTGGTGCGGTGCCCAATCTCGCGCAGTCGATTGTGACTGCGTAAAGAACGTGATTGGGAAGTCAGAAGGACTCAAAATGATAAGAACTAAAGGTGGTTAGGCATCCCTAACGACGCGTACATGGGAGACGGTCCATTGTACTCTGAAGCCGGAATCTGTTGTACACGCAGTAGGGAGGGGCGAGACTGACGAAAGGGACAAACTGACACTGATAGTGCTTGGTTTCCTTGACGGCATAGGTCATCAGGTTACACTGCAGGTCTGGAGCCTCAGTGTGAAGCCAAAAAAACTGTAGCGTTGGTGGGCAGCCATTCCACAGCCTAGTGAGCATCAGGCCGCGACTATGCCAAACTGCCTGATGCTCGCAGCGAGCGTGGCAATCCCTGGGCCGGCATGGATGGCTGAGCTGAATCGAAGTTAAACCGCATGGAGGCTGCGGGTGATCAAAGTGCGCCGTAAGGTGTGAAGGCTGATAAAGGATGCGCCCAGGGCGGGTGGCTGGGAGGCCAGATGAGGGGTTAAAGCAGGCTCTGTTTGCCTTGCGCATTGATTCGTCTGACTTGACGGGAGAAAGAAGTACCCAGCAGGTACCATAATACCTAGCCTACCTCTACCTACCTAACGTAGTAAGTAGAGGTACCGTACCATCCAATAAAGCCAAACCAAGCAAGGACGGTTGGGATGCATGGTTTGTCTAATTTGGAAGGAAAAAGGACGTATGGGCGTTGCCGACATGGAGGTGGTGGAAGGAATACCTCGGCGACATTGGTAGGTCAGGGGGAATGGGGGATGTACTCTATTGCACACATCCGGAAGCCGCACGTTTCGAGCATAGCAGGTCAGTTGGACCAGAAGTTGCTTTCTACACATACCGCAGCCTACCCCGAGTCTACAGTCAGCACACCCCAACAAATGCGACCCCCTGCAAAAGCAAAGCCCTCGTATTGCAACACCTTGGGGTTAGGCTATTAGTGATGCTGGAGCTACTCGTCAGTTTTCGTCAGTCAGCACACATTCACCTTGCCCCGTGATATTTCCAGTCTGACCCTTTGTGACAAGGGCAGTATTCTG